ATTTTAAAACACAAGGTCACAGATTACCTTGCTGGACTATCTTATAAAGGTTTCTAGATGGTGTAGTTTTTTCTGCCTTGGCCAGTGGCCAAATGGTTCTTCATCGTTAGTATCTGTTTAAGACTCCCTACTGTATAGACGCTCAGAGTCTTATCTTTCTTTAGTTCAAGGACTTTCATAATCTAATCTTATCCTCTGTAGTGTTCACCATTTCCTAATTGCACCTGCTTGTTCTGCTATCAGTTTGCATATTGCCCTTAGGACTGAATCAAGACCTTGTGTTCTCAGAGCAAGCTCATGCTTTGGTGCTTCTTTAAACCTGTTCATTCATTCCGTCACTCACAAACATTTATTAAGTATGTATTATGTGTCAAAAATGGCTCTAGTCTATTTGGATGTCACTATAAACAAATTAGACAAAGATCTCTATGTACATTCTAGGGGGAATATAGATGGCACAATACAGAAATAAATACATAAATTGCACAGTATGTTGGAAGACAAAAAAATGCCATAAAAAAAAGAAAGAAAAAGTAAAGCAGAGTGAGAAATGACAGCATGAGGAGTCTATGTGGCTGTGACAATTAGGGTACTCTGTCAAGAAGCTGAGATTGGAGCAAAGTCTGGGAGAGAGTGGAGCAGTTGGGAACACAGTGCTCTTAACTACATAAAGCAAAGGTGAGAGCAGGCCTGGCATGCTCCGGAAGCAGCTCCAGGGAGGCAGTGTGGCTGGAGGGAAGTTAGGCCTTGTTAGTTGGTGAGATGAGGCAACAGGAGGCTGTGTAACTCCACAGGTGGGCTTCACAGGCCACTGGGAGAAAGTTGGCTGTAACTCTGAGTGAGGTGGGGAGTCACTGTGGGGTTTGCAGACAAGGTGTAACAGGCTCTACTAGGTTTTTAGTTAATTACTCTTGCTGCTTTGCTGAAAATAAACTATTGATTGGTAAGATAAGAAGCAAGAAGAAGTTAGATTTTTCATGTAAGCCAGATGAGTTGACAGTGGTTTAATCATACTAGTAACAGATGAGGAGGGAAAAAGCCATGAGATTATGCATGTATGTATGTGTATGTTTTAAATTGAGGTGAGATATATTAGGTTAACTAACTTTCCATTACTGTTACGATATACCTGAAATAATCAACTTTAAAGAGTGAAAGGTTTGTTTTGGTTCATAGTTTCAGAGAAGGAAAGGGAGAAGAAGAGGAGAGGCTGAGGTTCCAATATCCCTTTCAAGGGTTTATCCTTAATCTAATCACCTAACTTCCTTCTGCTAGACCCTAATTCCTAAAGGCCCCACCACATTCCAACAGTGCCATGGGCTGGAGACCAAGCCATCAAAACATGAGCTTTTGGAGGACATTCAAGATCCAAACTATAGCATATTCACAACAGAAAATTTGCCTTTTAAACATTTACTTCAGTGATATTAACATATTAAATACGTTCGTATCATTGTACGATTACCATTATCTCCAGAACTTTTTCATCATCCTGAACTGAAACTTTTATATATATATCACCCCCGCCCTGTGCTGGTGATCAAATGCAGACCCTTGTACATGATGCTAGGCAAGTGTTCTACTACTGAGCTATGTTCCTAGGCCAAGATATATATATATATATATATATATATATATATATATATATATATATATATATATATATTTCTAAGTAACACTCAGCATGCTTTCTTGACAGATTGGCCTGGGTATGAGAGAAATAGAGGAGTCAAAGATGACTTCAAGAAAGATGGAAATATGGAATTGCTTTGGACAAGATGGGGGAGGGTGGGTGGAGAAAACTGGGGAAGGAAGGAAGAAAAGGAGTTCAGATTTCATCTCATGTTTGTTTGAGGTGTCTGCTAGAAATCCAAGTGGAGAGTTCAGGAGTGCATTTGGCACACAATCTGGAGTTCATTAGAACTGGGCCAGATGTGTGCATTTGGATGTCATCAACTGATAAATGGTTTTTAAGCCACAGGAGGGAGTAAGATAATCAAAGGAGTGAATAAGACAGAGAAGAAAAGACATCAAAAACTTTGAGGGCCGTCTAACATGCAAGGTCAGGGAGGTAGAGAAGTAGCAACAGAGGAGATGGAGAATGAGCAGGCCCACAGGGATAGAGTGCCAAATGCTGCTGAGACATCTAGGAGGAGGAGGACTTAGAACTGACCATTGGGTTTAGTGGTGTGGAGGTCACTGGTGACCCTAACAATTGTTTTTGTTTGTTTGTTTGTTGTTGTTGTTGTTTGTTTGTTTTAGAAGTGAGAGCTACAAAAGTTTAACTTGAATGGGGTAAGAGAAATGTAAGGAAAATAATTGCAGGCAGCAGGTACAGAATACTCATTTCAAGATTTTACCATTAACAGGGAGTGAAGCTGATGGAGGAAATACAATCACTGAGGAGTTTGTATTGTTTTCCAATATGCTGAAGTAGCAGTATATTTGTGGATGGGCATGATTCAGTAGAAAGGATTAAAAATGCTGATATAGGAGAGGGAGGGAATATTTTTGAATATTTAAATTCAAATATCTCCAAGTGGAGTTGAGCACTGCACTTTGCCACAGACGTTAAACTATTATAACCTGCTTCACTCTATGTAACCTACATTTAATGTAACCTACATTTAATTTTGCATCTCTTGGCCTGGATAGATACAGATCTAATGAGGCTCTAAACAACACTGGAATAAATTGGTAAAACTGTAAATTAGATCCACTCCTGCCAAAATAGACAGAACCCTCAAGTGCTAATGTACACTCTCTCCAAGGAGTATTTTTGCTTGTTTGTTGGCAAATTGCTCATGCAGATACCATCAGATAAACCAGATAAAAATTGACAGAAGCAGCTGAAGTCCAAAAGCAGAGTAACATGATGTAGTGCAGATTTTTAGGAATCAATGAATTTTATTTTTATTTCCATAAATAAGCCTTCAGATAGAACTTGGGAAATGAGTGGTTTCTGGGTGCAGGAAAGGAAGAGAGAAAGTTATTAAATTGGCATGAGTGGTAAAGTAGCAAATGTGAGTTGTTTGATCTGTATATCCAGGGCAGTAATTAAAAATTTATTATTGGACCACCAACAAGTTATGGGCTCAATGAATGAGCAATAGTAATATCCAAATCATAGAAAAGCGAATGCATGAATGTCGGTTTGGAAGATCAACTTCTTTGCAAGGAATGGAATTAATATGTATTAATTACTGCCTGGATATCTTTACTCTTTTCCATTTTATTCTACTGGAAGGATGAGCCTGTAGGAATAAAATGTAGTAGACTGGCCCCAAAATGACTCAGTGATCTCCACATCTTGATATTCATTCCTGTCCACTCTACACATCTCAAGTTGCTGTCTATAACAAGCTTCTGGAAGGTTCCAATATGAAAATTGCAGCACAAATCTCCATGAATTTGGAATAATTTCTTGACTCATGCTGATAACGATCTTCCATTTGAAAAGTAGCTGCTGGTGAAGAGTACATGGTTGGCCATGAATAAAATATTTATGTGATTCAAATTGTATATCATGAACTTAGTGTTATTGATTCAATGAACTATGAAATTGGGCATGCAGAAGTTATCCATCATAAGATGAAAGTGGTATATGATGAAAGAGGTCCCAGCAGATCCAGAAATCTCAAGAAAACTGCATGAGCAGGATTGGGAGATTGGTGACAAGAAGCACCCTGAGAAATGCAGCTGAAACTCTTAGAATTGAGACAGAATGGGGAAAGGCAACCAGAGGTTGACCAGATGACCCATTCTGTGCAGTTAACCTGTTTTTTTTTTTTGTTTTTTTTTTTTTTTGGTCTCATTGGTGTTTGCCTTAATGGTGTCCTAAATATATTACCAATGTGCTCTTTAACTCAAAAATATCTGGCTTCATAGAATAGAAGAACAGTTCTATTCTGTTCCTGCACATCCAACCATGTACTCTTCACCACTGTGGGCATCTGTATACCTTCTTTTTATAAATGAAGTCTACTCAACGCATTCTAATTTGAGTGTTCTGATTCTTGTTGGATCCTTACTGATAATGTTTCCTTCTGTGTCCTGGGGACTTTAAAAACGATACCTAATTTTAATCTTCACAACAACCCTATTATAATATGCCTTCTTGATAAACTTCTTACTATATAGCTGGCATTGGTCTTAGTGTTTCCTATGAATTGATTCGATAAGTCCACACAATAGCCTTGGAGAGGTAAAGGAACCTATCTAAGATATAGTTACCTGCATGGCTGGGATTAAAACCCAGCTCTAACCTCAAAGTTAAAGGTCATCTCCTACCATACTTTGCTGCCTTAGTAATAATTCATTTTCAGGTGTCAATTTGAGCATAAGCTGATTGAAAAATACAGATCTATGAAAATAAAACATTCATTTGAATTGTAAGATTTATTTATGGTCTTTAAAAAGGCAAATCATTTAACTGAAATCAAATAAAGATTAAGCTGCACCATAAAAGTCTAAGCATGACCCAGATTTACTGGCTAGTTTCTTTCTTCTAAATATTCAGTTTACACATAGACTTAATTCACTGAAAATTTAAGAGTTTGTTTCTATTTTTAAAATTCTTAAAGAAATATGACGTACCTAATTCAGAATCCCTGCTAACAGATTTCCAAGGAGAACAATGTCTTTGGAATCCTACTCTTCTGTACATTTGTTAGCTAATGTGAGCCCTGACAAAGGTAAAGAAGAATATACTGGTCATTTATCATGTGCAGACTGAGGAAATGCGTAAGCTGGACCAGGAAAGAGGAGCCTGAGAAGGGAAACCACATCGGCCAGTGTGTTAGTAACTTATTTTTTTGCTTTCGTGACAGTTTTTGTCCTTCACTAGTGAAGGAGGGCACCTTCAAGATGGTCATATGCTTGATAACAATTCATAGCCCCTGTCCCTAGGGACTTCCTCTTTTGGGATAACACCTCCAGCTTCATCTATCCAATGCCATGGATTTGTGACTCCCTAACAGTGAGAATGATCTGCTTTTCAGATAATACGTTCCAGTCCATTTTCTGTTGCTGCTGTTGCTGCTCAGTACAGAAGCGGTAAGTCTGTTCCGAAAGCAAATTCTTGGAAATGAATTCTTTCATGGTTTCCTTATTATCTACTGGGTCTCTGTGTCTCTTTGTATCTGCTGCTGCTCCCTCCACCTGGGAACCCTTCTCCTATTTTGCCTGACCATTTGAAAGGTGTAGGTCAAATGTCAGGTGGTCTGTGATCTTTCTCCATCCCTTCTGGATAATCACTCCTTCCCTCATATGCCCACAGCTGTGTCACTTGGTTCTCTACCTGACGTTTATTTCATATCTATTACTTTTATGACTGTGTTCCACTATTTACTTTCTCTCCTTTAAAGAGACTTGTCTTAGTTACCTGAGAATCTCCCCCAAACTATTGGTGTATCTTATACTTTGGTGTCCAGTAGATGTGTAAAATATTAAACCCAAGGTACCATGTTAATTGTAACAGTTGACATTTAAGAAGAATGTCCCCATGTCATTTTATTTAGGTTTACATTTATTCATTCACATAACTTTCAAAAATACCTAGGGTCTTTTCTTTTTACATTTCTCACTTTACAGATGAGGCAGTTGAGGCTTAGAGAGGTTACACTGCCTAGCTAAGGCCACACTATGAAATGTTGGAGTTGGGACGAAACTCATGTTATTAATCAGGATACCATGTGTGTTTATAACATTAGATGCCATCAAATGAGGTAATGCATACAAGATGATAAATGTTGTGCCTGACACAGTAAGATTTTCATTATCGTGATTGTGATTTTATGTCCCTAATATGCACCAGACTCTGAACAGGTGTGTGACATGTTCTCTCAGTTTTATTTCATAAGCATTCTACATACTCTTAGCATCTTTAGCTCTCAGAGAAGGAAACTTCACTTCTGAGAACTGGCAATGTGCCTGAGGAGAGAGAGCTAAGAAACCTTCTAAATAAAAAAGCAGATGGCTAGATACCTGGATCTCTCCCCTACGGTTGTGTTAATCTAGTGGATGTATGGATACTCTTAATACCTATAGCTATTTGTAACACGGTTGCTTTTCAATGCCAGACAAGTGAGAACACAAATAAGCCTGAGCAGAGATGAAGAACTTCCAGAAAACTACACTCAGCGTCACAGATGGTGGCTCAGCAAACCGTCAAGTAAGAAGCAAGTGAGTATCAGGTCCAAGGTAGTCTGCACCTAGCGATTCCTGCTTGTCACCAGGCCCAGAACCTACCATTAGCTTGGCCTGTAACAAGTGCTCAATGCATAGCGAGTGGATGTTCTAGAAGCCAGCGAAAGAAAGAAAGAAAGAAAGAAAGAAAGAAAAAAGGACAGTTAAAACAGCCTACTCTGCTGTATTTAAAGATAGAACTTGAACCTGAACAGTAAAAGGGGAAAGAGAAATGTATTTTGGTTCCTGCCATTTTGAGGCAAGGAGAAAATTTCAGCTCGGTGTTGGGAGAAGAACCTAGAAAGTGAGGTGAACTCAATACAAGCTTATAGCACAGGAAAGGGGGTGGCCACTTGTCTTCTTTCACAAGAATCCTTAAAACAAAGTGAAACTACTTAGGAGTCAATCATCTCTTAAGAATTGTAACATGCCAGACCCAGTGTGATGTTGTTAAGAGAAGTTGTGATCTCAGAAATCACAAAATGATGTGAGTCGCTGGCCCCAAAGGCTGTTTTATTAGTCAGTCTTCCACCCTGATTTCTGTCTTGGCGTATACCTGGGTGGGAGACATGAAGTAGCAGGTAGATGCGCTGTATCCACACTGCTTTTTAGTACAGATTGCTAAAAAAGTAATTAACCAGAAAAAAAAAAAAGAGTGACATTACTCCTCTGTTTACAGTCCAACAGGAGCTGTGGGCAACCTTCAAAACGCAAGCCATTGCCTCCCCTTCCACCCTCTGAGCTTGCTGAAGAGAAGATCCAGGTCAAGGCGCTGTATGATTTCCTGCCCCGAGAACCCTGTAATTTAGCACTAAAGAGAGCAGAAGAATACCTGATTTTGGAGAAGTATGATCCTCACTGGTGGAAGGCAAGAGACTGTTTAGGGTAAGGCTCATGGCTTAGTCCTTATCAAATTTCTTCTCTGTTAGCCTCTGAAAACTTTAGAACATTAAGAAGACTCTATATGGTGGCTCATTTTCTCCTTTATAACCTCCCTTTGCATGGAATAGAATTCATGCCCTACCTCCATCTGTAAGACTGAGCATTAGACCACCGTGATTTCAGGCAGGCAGGGAGGCTCAGAACCCGATACACCTGGCTTCACACCCTAATGCTGCCATTTACTGCTGTGGGTCCTTGGCAAGTTACTAGCCCACCCTGAGTTTATTTGTAAAATGGGAACAGTGATTCCTATCATACAGGTTCTTATTCTGATTTGTACTTTCTTCAGTTGGGAATTTTTCTTTTGTTCTTATTAAGCTCTAAGGTAAGAATAAAAATAGTATCTTATTCACTTTTATATTTCTATGATGACTAGAAATAGTTTTGGAGGCAAACATTCCAGTAGTTGTTGAATTAGACTGGAAAGAAAAAAGATCCTTGGATGCAAATAGATCTCATCATGTTAGATGCAATAGATTACTAATGCCTGACTATAATTTTGGGTTCAGAAGAATTCTGAGGGATTTCTGGGTTCCCTGGGAGAGAAAGTTGGCATTGATTTCTGGTATTTGACAAGATTTAGAGAGTGTAAGTATATAAGTATTATGAGCATTTCAATTACATACCTTAATTCTGAATTATATTTCCTGATGTTGACTGTCTTAGTTCTGAGTTTAAGCTCATCATGTGATGACTTTTTCAGTGGAAAAAGAGGCATTAGTAGGTTCAAAATTGTGTCATTAATCACCTCCGTAAGTAGACTATCAACATGCCTCAGATTAAAAAAAAATCAAAACACTGTATTAATATTTTATTTCATAGTTAGATGAATTTAGTTTTTAAAATAATGCCGGAATTCTGTTTTGCTACATCCTCCAAACACAGTGTCTTTCCCCAAAGCAGATATCATTAACCATTTAGTGAGCAGCCTTCCAGATCAAGTTCAATGAACTTATACACATAGATTGAAATATATGGGATCGTTTGTAGGTTTAATTGACCTAAATGTTACCACACTCCATGCTTTGCCCTGAAACTTGCTTCTACTTCTCAATAACATGTCTTGAAGATCATTTTGCAATGTTAAATGCTGATGAAGGCACAGGAGAAGAACCCCCTTTCTCCAGCCCCCAGCCTTTTGGTAGATGTATAAATCGGTATATCCTATTTTTAAGGCATTTTGCTGTGTTTTCTGAAAGAAGCACATATTTAGTGACTTAGCAATTCCTTGCTTGGGGTCCAGCCTAGAGAAATATTCTTGTGCACAAGAAGGCATGTTCAAGGATTACTGCTTTCAATAGGGGAGCAGCTGAACTAGAATGTCCACACTATAGAATACGTGGCAGCAATTAAAAAGAATAAAGCCAGCATCTTTGTAATTCGTGTTTTTTTTTAACTTAGTCACTATGACTTCAAGTTATCATTTAAGTGCCTTTTTTTCCTTTTTGAAATTATTTTGAGGTTACAAAACCTCCTAAACTATTCATCTTATAAATTAAGATTTTTGTATTTCTTCTACAGGGATTTTTGATGAGTTGGGAATGCAAAAAATGTTTTATTCTTTTTTTTTTTGAGAATTTAATCAGTAAACACATTTGATTTTCTCTTGCATCCTTGGGAGTTTAAAGAACTTTTGTCATGACAATGTCACAAGAGTGCTTAACATTTTGATTTTTGCTGCGTCTTTTTGTTGCAGGAACGAGGGCTTAATCCCAAGCAACTATGTGACTGAAAACAGACTCACCAATTTGGAATTATATGAGTAAGTGTCTTCCAAAGTGTGCTGTGTGGTAAACCTATGAAAATCAGGGACATTCTGGCAGTTTCAAAGTCTAGACACTTATTTTGGTCTGTGAAAAGAAAAGAAAGTAACACATTTGACAGTTTTAGCAATAGAGAGATCATTGGTCCTTATCATGATTGATTTAGAAACTTCTTTTTCTTAAACTTCATTTTGTTTTGTTTTGTATGGCCAGGTTTCTTTTTTAACAGGGACAGAATGAGGCCATCTGGCACTTAAAAAAAAACACACACACACCTATATATCCTTAGTGGAAAGTTTCCTTTAAATAACATCATTCAATTTTTCAATGAGTGGTAAATTGTATTTACTATGTAAATAATTCCTATATTTTGGCTCACATTTTGAGGTATATTAGACATTGCTGAAGATAAGAACTAGGCTAGTGCTATCGTTTGGGAGAAACTTAGGCATGTTCAAAAAGGTTCTGCTCAAAAGATATTTTTAATACAATTATAGATTTGAAACAAGGAGATCTTCACAACCACTTTTTATAGAGCCTCATTTTTCAAGTGAGAAAATAAGGCTGACAGATTAATTTACAGGTAGCAAGTGGCAGAGCTGGGACTAGCCCTGTTTTTTAAAATAAATTTAGATTTTCAGTTTGAGCATTCGCTTCCTCCTTCCTCAGGTACTTATTTTGCAATTAGCAAATGTTTCCAGAAGGTGGCAGTAGATGAGAGGAGTTGCCACACTAAGGGGCTTTTTGAGAACCACACATCAAAGAAATGAAAGAAACTTGCTTGGCCTTGCTACTAATTGAAGCACTCCTGAAAGTCAGATTCAGTATTTTCTTCCCTAAAGTAAATCCAGTTCCAAAAGCTCTGGTGAAGAATGTAAGTTTTATTGGAGAGTAGAAGGAGATGACCACAGGACAACTCTACCAGGCTTCTCCATTGACTGTCTCTGTTCTCTCCCACAAACCACAGTCTTCTATCTTCTCTCTACCTTCAGCCCATCTGCCGTGTCCGCTCGTTAACTTAAGCTTTGATAGTCCTGAGCCAAGACTCCAGTCTCCAGTAAAAACCAAGCCTTTGGTGGCAGAACTCACACCTTCCTTAGAAAACATCTTTACAACTATCTATAGTGACTCTGGCATGCCTCACACAGATCTAACTGTCCCCTGGGTGGAGGGTGACCAACAGAAACAGAACTTTTGGAAGGCCATGTTACAGGAGATTTTGGATGAAAATCAGCTACAAAAAAATAAGAAAAATAAGATTATTTTTCACCCCAGTTTGGATTTTCTGGAAGATTAAAGGAGTCATCTGTGACAGTGACTACTTTACCCAGTATTGTTACTTTCTTTTTTTGTTGTTGTTGTTAATTAAGTTGCTCATCGCCACCACTGTTTAGAATAGGCTTGGGCGCTGGCTGCAGCACTTACTTACAATGTAGATTTCACATCATTTGAATTAAACAACTCTGGGGTTACCATTGCCATTTCATTTTGGGGGGCTTAAATTTATTTTTGATTTTTGAAAAATCATCCTTATGAATCATTCTAATTCTGGGAAGACTTTTAACTTTATTGATTTAAAAAAACAAATTTGTTAAAATATAGTTATAATAGATAACACTATTAATCACAAAGTTGATTGACCTCTTACATGTGTGCCAGGCATTTTTCTAATTATGGACAAGAATTGCTGCCCCAGGTTGAAATACTGAAATATGAGCTTAGGGATGGAGGAAACTGGCTCCAAATCCTGGCATCACCACTGGTTAGTTCTTTGATTCTAAGCAAAGTTGCCAAATGTCTCTGGCTGTTCTGAACCTCTGATGATCTCATAAGTGGGGACAATTATATCTATCTTGTATGGTATTTAGTAATTGGTCATTACATTCTAGTGATTATTATTTTTCCACAAATAGGAAAGACATTTACATTTTGGTCCACCTTGCTTAGTATTGCAAATATGCAGCCTTGCCTTTGTTACATTGGCCTCCTTTATTTGTTATTTCTTTATTTGTTAATTCTGTGTTTATTGTACATTTAAGATGGATCAGATGTGAGTGGTTCTCAGCCTTGGAGATACAACATGGAACACACAGAACCTTCCCTGCCTTCATGGAACTTACAGTTTCATGGAGACATTAAACAACACTAAATTCAAAAACAAATGTATAATTCTAAATTGTAGTGTTATGAAGGAAGAGTGTAAGACATTGTGGGAGAAAACAACAGGGAAGAGGATATATAAAGTGGTTGGGGATGTTGAGTTGGGAAGACCTTTCTAAGGAAAGGTATTTATAAATTTAAATAAATAAGAACAGTTTCCTTTATTCACCCTCCACATACTAAATGTTCTTAAACAATCAGTTCTATTTATAAGCTCAGTTAATTAAATTTCCTGAAACATGTAATTAGCATTAATAAACTGAATACATTCAATTATCTTTTTAAATACTTCACATATTTGACAGGGCAAATCACAATTGTAATGAGCCCTATGTAAGTCTTTAAATGATTCTACAAATCTAATAAATTAAACTTGTAAATATGAGAAATCAAGTTCTCCTAACTGTATGAATATCTGTTAAGTATTAATCAAATTCTCTTCAACTTCAAATAACAAGTTTTAAATTGATTATGCATTTGAAATAAGAGACAAAAAAATGAATACATTGGATTCTCTTAAAATGGTAGACAATTTAAATACCAAAACATGGATTATCCTGAACTTCTTATAAGAGTTTATCTCAATATCTCTACACTGAGTCCTTGATCTTCCCAGGGTTATAAAGCAACTCCCTAAGGGAAACTGATGTAACTTCTCAGCTCTGGTGGGATTTCCAAGTCAGAAATTCAGGAGCCCAATACTGTTACTTATTGATTAGAAATCTAAGATTGGGCATGAAACTCAAGACCTGCATATATATACAAAAGTTTTGACTCAAATGTAGCTGGACTTGCTAATTTTTTTTAAATCAATAGATGCCCTGCCCCAACTCCTGTGTTCATATTATTTTGTACCTGTTATAAACACTGCTTTAAAAGTATAAATTATGGACTTTCCTATTTTTTAAAAAAGAATTTTCTGACTTTTAGATAAAATTTTGAAATACTATCCTCCCAACCTCTCTTAAATTACCTTCACTGAATCCTTTTACTACTTAACAGAATTGGGCTTTATTTTATAGGACCCTGAATTTGTGATATATTCCTATGTGGCTCTTGGGTAACTACTTTGAAGTCATTCTAATGATAGCCACATATGTATAAATTTTTAATTTATGTTTAAACAAAATTGGCAATTTACTTATGCTATTTATCACTGATAAATGAATACAAGTAATATAATTAACACCAACACAAAAGCAGCATGAGCTCAATGTTTTTAAAAAGCATTATTTTAAAAAAATATATAATTTATGTTAACTTTTTCCTTTTTGAATATCGTCATGCAGTCACAGCTTTTCACAGATTCAATTTACTTTAGTGAATTATAATCATTATTTTCCTTTTAACATCCAAATTTCACAACCTAACCAGTGGGGGCTCCTTAAGCTAATTCCCTGTGTCTTAATTAGTTTGAAGAATTTTTTTTTCTTCCTGCAACAAGAACTCTCAGACTCATCTTGAAATTCCTCAGTTGAATATTAACATTGACTAAAAACGTTCAGAATGATGCTCACAATGTAACACTGAGTAACTTTTCTTCCAACACTAGTGGTCAGTGGTCAGATGACAGTGGTCAGAGCCATCTGTCATCTCCCATTGTCTGTGGATTATCTTCCCAAAGTTCACTTTCAGTTTGATGACATCAGTATTTTAGATAACTGACCATTCTGACTTGATGGCAGCTGTCTACTCCTGGCTGTGAAGAGAAGTCCACAAGTTGAGGTGAGGAGTTGGTTAGTCACCATCTGGCCGGCCTTTGGTGACTCAGTACAAAGTTAAATATATACCTCCTTTCTTCTACTATCCACAAAATTAGTATTTCTGGTAATATTAGGTTAAATTCCAAATTCTTTGTAAAAATGTTGTTTTTTTAACGAAGGCTTTTCAATTTTTAAAAATCTCCCTGTTCTACCACTTTTCTCTGCTTTCTGAATAACATTTGCTTACTGTCTAGGTATGGTCGTATCAAACTATATGTTTACTTTATAATATTACTTAATCATGTTTACTGTGCGTTCATATATTCTGGCCACTTAATGAGGTGCTTAATGCAGAGGAAACAGAACAATTGAAGGCAGAAAGGGGCTTGGTGAGTCTGGGGAGGAAAGAGCCCCAACATGACAAAGCTTTGTGAGCGAGGGCAGAGTGGGGAAGAGATGTGGCAGGAGAGGGCTCCGGGGCAGGGTCCCATGCTGGCTGTTCCATGAGCTCTGTTAACTACCCCACTCTACTCAGAGGGAATGGACTTGAGAGAATCAGATACATTAGGATGAATTTTAATTTTGGAAAGGGAAATAACACTTATGAAAGCACTCAAATAAGAAGTTCTTGAGAGTAAAGTTGCTACTTTTTAGTTTGTCTGCTAAAGCTCAGCATTTGTTGAAGATGATGACTTCTTACCCACAAGTCTTTCATGGAATTTTACAAGATCTTGAGTCCATCAAAATTACATACAGGTGCTAAGCATGTATGTCAGAAAGTTTGAATGGGCTATGCTAGAATAACTAGGCGATCAGGCCTGAAATTAGTAAAATTGTATTAAACCTGATCAGTTGTCCTGTAATATTCTATCATAATTTATCTGAATTTTAAAAAGCCAGAACATTCTAAAATTAATTCTGAACCAAGGTCTTTAAAATGAAGGAAATAGAGTCAGATTTTTTTTGGAAAAAAATTAATAAAAAATTTAAACATTATTTGTGTTGCTTTTATAGGTGGTACCATAGGAACATTACCAGAAATCAGGCAGAACGTCTATTGAAACAGGAGGTAATTATCATTGTAGTAATGAATAAATCTGAATATTTTCTAAATGTCTGAGAGAGGCATATTATGAAGACTTTAATCAACTATACTGGTGTCTTGCTTCTTGTTCTTTCTAATTCTGAAGTCTTATTAAGACTTCATCCCCAATACATGTTTCTTGGTAAGTTGGTAAGTCAAATATATTTATGTCAGATCATGTTTTCCATTAACTTTCTTCATAATTTCAGAAATCTATTTCTCCTGAAATGATTTCAACTCCAATGTACTGAGACTCCTTCATTCATTCTAACATGCTTTCTGCCTGAAGAATTTGTATTTGAGTTGCTCATATAACCTCTGCTGCAAAAGCAATTAAATATACTCTCTAACCTCACAAACTTACACTCATTAAAAACACAAACAGAAAAGTACATGGTGTAGTAGTTTCTTCATTCTTTGGAAACAAAGGGGAGAGTAGGATAGACAAAATACCAGATTCAGATCAGAACTACTCATTTAGGTCAAACCAAAACAAAACTGCATATAGTTAAATTTCCAACAGCCGGTAAATATTAACTGTGGGGAAACATAGAGTCAAAACTAGAAACTAGATAAGAGGTATTGTATCATTAAGCACTGCTGTTGGATGTTGAGGAAATCTCGAAATGTGACTGAGAAAGAGTCAGTTCTGTAACTAAAACTCAATACCTGTAATGGTTCAGGAGCAGGATAGACTCACTTTGTTGCAGAGGGACAGACAGGATGAGGGTCAGAGACCCAGCCTCAGGCAATATTGGGGTAGAGCTTTGTTTGCTAAGATGAAATTGAAATAAATATGGTGTTTCCCTGGCATGGTCCCATAGACAGGCTTTTGTAAAATGATGTTAGTAAATTCAAAGAGAATGTCCATTTCTGATTTTCCTAGACTGAAGTGCCCTCTGTGGGAATTGTATCAGCTTGAATACCTATCAGAAATGAAGAGTGTCTGGTTTCCCATAACCTCTCCAGCCAGTGGTTTATAGGAAACATCTGGATCTTTGCTCTTTGACACCTCATCTCAGTGTGGATTTGATTTGCACTTCTCTTATTCTGGGGATTGTAAATATTATTCATATATTAAATTTTTTATGTTTGTATTCCCTCTTCTGTAAACTGTTCATATCCTTTGCATAATTTTCTGTTTTTTATCCTTTTCTAAGAATTTGCAGGACCTATGTAGCTATATTTAGGAAATTATTCTTTGTGGTGTGGCAATATTTACTCCAGTTTTTTAATTGTTCTATGGTTTTCTGGCATAAATAATATTTGAATTATGTATGTTTGAATTTGTGCGGAAAATTTTTGTAAGAATTGAGAGTTTGTGTCAGAATTTTCTTCCCTAGTCTAAGGTTACACACACACACACACACACAAAAAAAAAAAAACCCAAACAAAAAACAAACACTTATGTTTCTTGATACTTAGTGGTTTTGTTTTGTGTATTTATACCTCCAATCCATTCCTATTTAATTTTTTTTAAAAAGAGTTTTTCTCATGTAGCTTGTACATTTATCTTTTGTGTTGCTATCATACATGAATATATCTTGCTTTTATTTATGAAAGATTTTGAGTTCTGTGAATTAATTTTGTACCCAGTAATGCTGGGGAGTTTTCATAATTTTGGTAGTTTTTCACTGGATTGTCTTAGGTTTCAGATACATGATCTTACCAGCAACAAATAGTGATGATTTCAATTACTCTTTTATAATATTAATACAGTACTTCTAATTTTTGCTCCTCATTCAATTTCATTGCCTAGTGTTACCAGAATAGTATAAATACTAGTGTTGTTAGTGGGCATGATTTTTTTTTTCTCCTGACATTATTTGGAATAATATCCATATAAAGCATAATAAAGGACTTGAGACTAGGGTAAAGAAAGGTATTGTGTAAGGAAGTACAAATATCTTCCTGTTGTACTGAGAATTTTTAAAAGTTGTACTAGAAGTTGGAGTTTGTCAAATGCCTTTTCAACATGTCTGGAGATGTCTATGATTTTTTTTTTCCTCCCTCAGATCTGTTACTATGACAAATTATATTAATGAGATTTCCAACACTGAATTTCTCTGACATTCCTGTAGGCAAACCCTCTTGGTCATGGTGTATTATTCTTTTGTGCTACTGGATTTTATTTGTTAACATTTTATTTTGTGTTAAGTGATGTAAGTTGACATAAGCTGGTCAGTACTTTTGTTTGTGCACAGTTGGGTTGTTGGTATTGATATTAAGCTCAACCTGTACATAAATTTAGAAGTTTTTGTTCTTTTCATATGTTCAGGATTAGTTTAATCTCTGTACTTTTTTTTAAAGATTTAATACATCAAAATGTGTAACTGTGGTGCTTTTAAAGTTAGCTCTTTAAAAACATCCACTTTTTATTCATAGTTTCATTAAAACTTTCAGTTCTTCTGGACTAAATTTTAAGACAAGTTATGTTTTGTTAATTAATTATCCATTTCATTCAATTTTTCAATTTTATTGTATAGAGTCGAGTAAATTTTTTTTTTTCTGGATTTTTGCATATTTGTACCTATGACTTTTTGGGGGACGGAGTCCCTTTGATTGAACTCGGAACACTTGACCACTGAGCCACATCCCCAGCTCTATTTCGTATTTTATTTAGAGACAAGGTCTCACTGAGTTGCTTAGTGCCTTGCTTTTGGTGAGGCTGTTTGAACTCGCGATTACCCTCCTGAGCCACTGGGATTACAGGTGTGTGCCACCGTACCTGGTTTATGACTTATTTTTTATAAACTTTTGCCATTAGTTATTGATTAGGTGAATTAGCTGTTTATTTATTGTTTTCCCTGAGCAACCAGACTTTGAACTTAATTCCTAGTTGTACTTTAAAAAAATAATTTATTATCTATCATAATTATAATTTATATTTTATCTACTTTTTAAAAATAATTTATTATCTTTGATCTTTTTAACTTATTTCTTCTATTGTACTTGGATTTTATAACTAACTTATTTTTACTTCTTTTACTTATTGGTATAAATAATAACACTGAATTTATTTCTGAGTACTGTTAGAGCTGCATAGCAAAAGATGATGTTTCCTTATTATCTTCTGGATATTTTCATTTTTGATTTAATTTCCTTGAGTTATATAAAAGAGAATTAAAGAGGGCTGGGGATATAGCTCAGTTGGTAGAGTGCTTGCCTTACATGCACAAGGCCCTGGGTTCAATCCCCAGCACCAGAGAGAGAGAGAGAGAGAGAGAGAGAGAGAGAGAGAGAGAGAATATTAAAAATCTATAGGAGGTAGGAGCATTTTATTTGGGGTTTTGTTGGGAATTTCTAGTGTTCATGCTTTGTGATCAGGAAATACTGTTTGTGTTCTTTCAACTTTGATTCATTGTAAGAGGAGACCACTACATGTGCAACTTTATTACCTGCATATTACATATACTGACATGTATATATATTATTGTATATGCAATCTAAACTGTACACGCACCTTTGCTTTTTATATCTTTGTCTTTTATGTCTTTACCCTTTGATATGTAACACAGTCCTTGAACATTATAGGAATTCAATGAAAGATAGATTTTGTAATTTCAAATGACTATAAGAGATTCTTTTATTTAAAACACTTGACCAGGGAATGAGGCTTATGCCTGGTAGGAGGAAGAAAAGATTCTGGCGATGGATTATAGGCACCTGGAGGGGACCCTGCTCTTTGGGTCACACAGTTTGCAAGCACAGGTGAAGGGGCATAGCACTTCCCAAGGGTAAACTGCCATGGGTTTGACATGATTCCAAAAGTTTTCCCACTTGAAAACAAACATATCCAGGGAGACTGAACTTTTCATAATAGGAAACAAACAAATCAAAAGAATCTAACATTCAAAATTATTTTAAAGCAATTTTCAGCCTTATCAGAGTCTCTGGAAGAATGTCCACAGGAATCTTTTTTTTTTTTTTTTTTTGGTAGTGCTAGGGATTAAACCCAGGGCCTTGTGCATGCAAGGCAATCACTCTACCAACTAAGATATATTCCCCAGCCCCAAGGGACCTGCTTTTTAACTTAGTATCACCCTTGTTAAAATGTTCTCCTGCCATTTCTCTTTTCATTTCTTCCCACCCCTACAGCAACTTCTTTCTCCCTTCAGACTCTCCCAAATCCATTCTTTCTCATGAACTCTGATCTCTCCATCCATTCTCTGTCTTTCCAAAAATATTTTTACCTGCTTCCTTCATCCTATCCACTACCTTATTTCTCTTCTTCCAAAGTACAGACCTGTCAGTCTCAGACGTTCATCTTATCAATCAGCTATTTTTATCTGTTGTCCCAATTAATACAACAAAAACAACTAATAAGTGGGGTACAAGACTCTTAGATACAGAACTTTCTTTTTATAAAAACCAGAAGGTTTTTAAATACTCTTGCATTATAAATTCATGTCCAAATTACACTACTTTTAGAAATGTGACTTCTAAACCTATAGGGGATATAAAACATTGGGTGTACTTCCAGTCTCATTCTTTATAGTAAGAATATAGTAAGTGACTTATAGTAAGTTGGTATAGCTTTGGTTTTCATCACCAAGATATAATGTTGTCTTTCTGAGCAAGAATAGACTTATATAATGAGTAAATTGTTTTTCAGGCTAAAGAAGGTGCATTTATTGTCAGAGATTCAAGACATTTGGGGTCTTACACCATTTCCGTGTTTATAAGAGCTAGAAGGTAAGCAGCTGTGACTTTGGTTAATATATAAGCCCTAGGACAATCTGTTTTTATGATGATACCATCATGTACAGAATCGAGGTGAGAGCTTAGTTTAGGGAAAGGATTTCTGGCTTGGAAGTCAGGACTAGCCAGACCACATTGTATCCCTAACACGCTATGTGTGATATTACATTAGCTCCGTGACCTCTTTTGTCTTCCTTTTCTCAACCATCAAATAAAGGGGTTAGATAAGGTTAGGTGTAGAAAATACTATTGCTGCATTCCTCCTGTCCCTTGGTCTACTCTGGGATTGACCTGCAGGGAGGTTTTTTTCTCTTAGAAAGCTTCCCATGTCTTCCTGCCTGAGAATGTTCTCTGGTTGTGGAAGAAAATAGGACCCATTGATTAGGCTGGAAATACCTGCAGTCACATCAGGAGCAGCGGTCCATCAATGAGGAATGGGAGCTGGTGGATAAACACCTGTTTTTGTTTTTTTTTTTTTTTTTGTGCTTCTGTGGGGCAGTTCTGAGGTATGTTCTCCAGTCTGTCATAGATTCCTAGAAGGATTGAAGTTTCTCAAAATATTCTGTGTTCCATGATGAGCTCCACTTTTTTGGACATTGAACTTTTCGTTTTTTTTTCTTTTTTATTATTTTTTTAATTTTTTATTGTTGGTTGTTCAAAACATTACATAGTTCTTGATATATCATCTTTCACACTTTGATTCAAGTGGGTTATGAACTCCCATTTTTACCCCGTATACAAATTGCAGAATCACATCAGTTACACATCCATTGATTTACATATTGCCATACTAGTGTCTGTTGTATTCTGCTGCCTTTCCTATCCTCTACTATCCCCCCTCCCCTCCCCTCCCCTCTTCTCTCTCTACCCCCTCTACTGTCATTCATTTCTCCCCCTTGTATAATTTTCCCCTTTCCCCTCACTTCCTCTTGTATGAAATTTTGTATAACCCTGAGGGTCTCCTTCCATTTCCATGCAATTTCCCTTCTCTCTCCCTTTCCCTCCCACCTCTCATCCCAGTTTAATGTTAATCTTCTTCTCATGCTCTTCGTCCCTACTCTGTTCTACTCTGATTACTCTCCTTATATCAAAGAAGACATTTGGCATTTGTTTTTTAGGGATTGGCTAGCTTCACTTAGCATAATCTGCTCTAATGCCATCCATTTCCCTGCAAATTCTATGATTTTGTCATTTTTTAATGCAGAGTAATACTCCATTGTGTATAAATGCCACATTTTTTTTTATCCATTCATCTATTGAAGGGCATCTAGGTTGGTTCCACAGTCTTGCTATTGTGAATTGTGCTGCTATGAACATCGATGTAGCAGTGTCCCTGTAGCATGCTCTTTTTAGGTCTTTAGGGAATAGACCGAGAAGGGGAATAGCTGGGTCAAATGGTGGTTCCATTCCCAGCTTTCCAAGAAATCTCCATACTGCTTTCCAAATTGGCTGCACCAATTTGCAGTCCTACCAGCAATGTACAAGTGTACCCTTTTCCCCACATCCTCTCCAGCACTTGTTGTTTGACTTCCTAATGGCTGCCAATCTTACTGGAGTGAGATGGTATCTTAGGGTGGTTTTGATTTGCATTTCTCTGACTGCTAGAGATGGTGAGCATTTTTTCATGGACATTGAACTTTTCACCTAAACAGTATTGGCTGAAGTTATGTTTGAATCTGAGGCCTCAATAAGACTATTGAGGAATTTTCCGAGGATGGTCAGGCACATGTTAAACTGATCAATCTTCTCTTCAGTGTATGGTGTTGATGGCATGAGAATTTGAGTTCTGTTGCTTAATGAATTGTCTTAGTTCTAAAGTGACCTTTTGATTGTTTACTAATTCACATTTTATCTGCTATAGAAGTACAGAGGCTACAATAAAACATTATCAGATTAAAAGGAATGATTCCGGACAGTGGTATGTGGCTGAAAGACACCTCTTTCCATCAGTGCCTGAGTTGATCTGGTATCACCAGCACAATGCTGCTGGTAAGTGAGGGACATGGGGCTGGGAGGATTGGGGAGCCAGGCTCTGGACAGCAATTCATGGTGGGTATCAGACACTCAACAGGAATAAGTCTCCCTCTACAAAGAGCTTAGGAACTTGAAAAACACTGTTTTCTGGGCCACTGTCCTCTTCATTGATGTGCCTTTGTTTTTCTAGTGAAGGGGCAAGAAGTGAGTCTATTTTTCATACTTCTACCATGTTAGAAAAATGATGGGTGGCTGAGAAGCAAAAGGCCTTTTGGTCATTATGCATTTGTTCTGGAAATTTATGTAGGGCAAAATGTAATAAGGTTTCAAATGCCCTAAATGATGATGCCTCCTTCTCTTTACTCTCCTCTCCTAGGTTTGCTCTCTACTTTAGACAATTGTAACAGAAAACTCTCTTTAAATCTCTCTCTGTTCTTTCTAGTGTGGAGAAAAGAGAAAGTTATACAAAATCCAGCCTTTTATAGTCACTTTGGCCTAAATATACTGAAGAAATATTTAACCTCCTTTCCCGGCTATTGTTTGCCACATTGTCATTTGTGCAAACCTATCATCTGCAGAAAGATAATAGGATTCCAGAAAGTTCCACCACAATTGCAACCACATCTCTGGCCTTCAGCCCCTACTCATTGTGGGCTGGATCACTATGAGTCCACGGGGGAATCTTCTGACGTCAGCATTACAGCATTTGGAACCCACTGTCACTTTTCATATTATTTTGACTTTTTGTCATGCAGTGCTGTTTTGATTTCACTCATGAAAAGTTGTGTTGACCAAAATAATCCTTTCTGGAAAGAGACCACTTTTCCATTAAACTGGCCCTAAATATTAGGAATAAACCCCAAGAAATTTGTATCCATCTATAGGATGAGCCTACATGGATATTCTAGATGGTCACAGGGAGTGTGGTTTGAGAGGTGGAGGCCTGGGAGGCCACAGGTGTGGCTGGAGATACAAACCCCCTGAATCAGGAGACAGGCTCTGAGTTTCTTCTGCTCATTCCTCCTTCTCCTTCCTTCAAAGAAAATAATTTTAAAAACTGATGATAAGAAAAATAATGAAGTAGATTAGAATGTGGGTAAGTTAAAAAAATTCGCAAGCAATATATTCAGATCATAGTGCCATTTTTTTTCCTGGTAAAAAGAAGCATATATATGATTTACAAACAAGAGTATAACAGACTATAAATTGTTAATGTTTATCTGTGGAAACTGAGAGGTGGAAGTAAAGGACACTTTTATTTTCTGCTTTATAGATGGCTTTAGAGTTTTTTAAATTACAATGCATGTATATCATTCTTATCATCTACAAAATACCACAAAGATAATTTTAAAAATAAAACAACTGAAACAAGAAAAAAGTGAAAACAGGAGATAAAAATTGATAACCAGGGGCTGGGGCTGTAGCTGAGTGGCAGAGCACTTGCCTAGCACATGGGAGGCATTGATTGGATTTGATCCTGAGCACCACATAAAAATAAACAAATAAAATAAATATATGCTTTCCATATACAACTACAAAAGTAAAAAAGAAAAAACATTCCTAACCATGGTGCTATTTTTTTAAGAAAGAAAATAAACTATAAAAGAAGTAAGAAAACAAGAAAGAAGGGTGATAAGGACAAGAAGAAAGTCATACGCCCCACAAATAATCGATATTTACTAAAGATTTACTTTGGGGCAAATCCTGTTTCAAGTGCTTTTATGTTTATTTAATCTTCAGAGCAACCTATGAGTAGGTGCTGTTGAGATTTTTCATTTTATGGATGAAAAAACTTAAGGTAACTTTGAGGTAACTTGCTCAAGGTCATATAGCTAATAAGTACCTATGTTGAGATTTAAACCCACAGAAGTCATGGAAACTATTGAAACCATTGAGCCCTCTGGGTTCAGCGTCTATTGTATCCTCCAGAAAGAGGCAACTCATGTCATTGGAGGATATTTTGGAGGTTCAGTTTTAGAAAAGTTGTGAATTGGGGTCCATGGCTATCCTGTCTCTTTATTTAAAAAAATTATTACCTAAACTTTGACTTTTTCTGTGTACATATAAACATATAAACCCACGACGATTCACCACCTTACCCAGAAGTAAGGACAAAGCCAAGAGAGTGACAGACTTCTTTCTGTCACAGAAAGACTATCACTAATCCATTGGTAGTATTTCCCAGGATAAAAATATTTGGCAAATAAAAACTTTGACGTTAGAGAAAATCTCTCCAATTCCTCTCTTTAATTACTTGAATCATGTGCTATAAAGACTCACCTAGAGGGCTGGGGTTGTGGCTCAGAGGTATAGCACTCCCCTAGCACGTGGGCCCTGGGTTCGATCCTCAGCACGACATAAAAATAAATAAATTAATTAAAGGTCTTGTGTCCAACAACAACAACTGTATATAAAGACTCCACTAGGGAGAAGCTCTAACCTCAAGTAGGTATTCAGAGTTGCTAGGTAACACTGTTTTCTGTTCAAACTTTTACCATTTTCCTCAAGGCCCTTTGCCAACAGTAATCACTGGCCTATTAGCACATCAGTTAGCTGTCTTCTTCATTAAGAAAATGGAAGCAGCTCAGCATGACCTTCCTCCATTGTCTCCTGTCACTGCCATCACCCTCATTCCCTCCAATCCTCCAATAGTAAGGAGGCCAAGGCCTCGCCTGTGCTCTTGTTCCCATCTCTCCTCTTCTGCTGGGGCTCCTTTCTCTCTGGTCACTCCATTTTTTTCCCCTAACCTTCTCCTACAGTCCTCCTACCCCTTAAGACATTTTTATTTTAAAAACAAAAACAAACTTCTGTTGAGTGAGTGAGTGTGTGTGTGTGTGTGTGTGTGTGTGTATTGCTCTTTTTAGTCACACTTTTGAAAAAATAAATGTGTCTACATCTACTGCCTCCAATTCCTCACTTTCCATTTGGTGTGCTTGTGGAATCTGGCTTCTACCTCCAGCCTCCACAGCTCTGTGCTTTGCCAGTAACCCCCACTTGGGCGCATGCAGTGTAGCTTTCAAGTGCTCATGTATTCGGCCTTTGTTGTTATATCTGGTGGTGACATTTCTTGAATTTCCTGCTCCCTAGATGTTTGACATCATCCTTTCTTGGTCTTCTCTAATTCACATCATTCCCTATGAATCTTCCCAAAGAGTCCTTCTTTTCTTCCTTTAAACACTGATGTTCCACAGGGGTTCCATCCTTGATCACTCGTCATCTCACCCTAGGGTTCTCCCTTTGCATAATTTTACCTGGTGGACACAGACACTTGGAATTCTCTAGTCTTGAACTTCAGTGATGAAGTCGGGTCTTTCATCTTATACCCTCTCTCTCCCTCCAAATCTAGGCTTCTTGCTGTTATTTATCTCGGGCAATGGTGCCATCATTTAGCCAATTAAAGAGACTGGATGCATTGGTAGTTGATGTTTCTATTCTCAAAACCTAACTTCTTATTAATTATTAAGTGGAATTAATTTCATACCCTAAAAGTGTCTCCTCTGACCCTTGCCTCTCCCTATTAGTGCTGCCCTAATCAGTGCTCAGGTGAAAAATTGCAGTAGGCTCTTAACTGCTGTCACTGTCTCTGATGCTCTTTCACCCTTAATTCAACCCTGTTCTGGTGCCAGAGTGAACTATCAAAAATATAAATATGAATATTTCACCTCCTTAATTGGGACATCTCAATGGCTCTCTCCCACCTGCAGGAAAATGCAATGCTCCCTAGCATGACTTACAAGGCCCATCACAACCACAAATCCTTCTACTTCTCAAGTACAACTTGTTGCCTCTCCCTACCTCTTGCTTTTTGTTCAAGTGCCACCTTTCTGCTTCACATCTCTCAGTATCATTCATGCTGTCACCTCTGCCTAGAATGTCCTTTCAGTTTTTTCCTCGTGAGTTACTCCACTTATTAGATTCACCTCAGGTGTCATTTCCTCCCATAAAACTTCTTTTTTAAAATCCAGCCATGTGTTCAGTGTTCCTTCTCCACGCCCCAGCAAACTTTGCGTGCATCTCTGGCACAGTGCTTGATGTTGGAACAGCCTCTCCTTTCCTTCTTCACTGAGATAGAGCTCCCTTGTTTTATTCATCTTTGGATCTGCCTAGATGAGTGTCTTGCATTCAGTAGGCACTTAATAGAAAAATTTCTTTCTGTTTTTATACTAGCTAAGCTTGTTTCTGCCTTCCAGTCTCTGCACATGTTGTTCCATCTGCCTGCAAGAATCTTTCTCTGGATCTTTCTGAGATGACTCCTTGTCAATCAATGCCATATAACTGTCATCTTGTCAGGAAGGGCTTCCCTGGGCAACTATCTACAGTCTCTGTATTTTATCTTCTCTGCTTTCACCTATCCTCAGCTACCTTTTCTTGTGTTCACACACTTGTTTATTTCCCGCCCCCGAGGGACCCAACATTGTGATAGTAAATGACTCATGCCAGGCTCTTAATGAAAGAAATAAACGATAAGTGCTTATTGAACTAAATTGAAATTGATTGTTTAGAATTCTGCACATTGACCCAGTCAAATGAAGTTCCATTTACTTTACCATGCTATTTTTCAAAAACGTATACTACTAAGCTGGGTGCGGTGGTGCACGTCAGTAATCCCAGTGGCTCAGGAGGCTGAGGCAGCCTCAGCAATTTAGCAAGGCCCTAAGCAACTCAGCTAGACCTGTCTCTAAATAAAATAATAAAAAGGGCTGGGAATACGTTTCAGTGGTTAAGTGCCCCTGGGTTCAATCCCTAGTACAAAAAAAAAAATAAGAAAGAAAGAAAGAAAAAAGTGAACTACTCTCAAAGGGGTGGGGGTAAGGAAATGGGTACATTTAAGCACTGATGGTGGTCAAATGAACTGCAGTAGCCTTTCTGGACACTGTTCAACCTGAAATCACATTTTATAAGACAATAATTTGAGAAGTACATACAAATGTATGTTCAAGAATATATAGTACTCTGCAGAAATCTGACTAAAAAGTTTCAATTTGGTTGACTGTGTATAGGACTAAGTATTTTTAAACACTTAGAAGGGAGAAGGAGTGAAGAATAGGTGGGACACTGGATTTTTAGGCCAGTGAAACTACTCTACATGATACTGTAATGGTGGCCACATGTCATTACCTATTTGTCCAAACTCAGAATGTGCAGCATCAACCCAAAAATGATGGACGCTGGGTGATACTGACGTGTCAATGTAGTTCATTAGTTTTAACATCTCTCTGAGTGGAAGATGCTGATGATGGGGGAAGCTATGCAAGTACAGGGGCAAGGAATACATGAAAATCTCTGTACCTTCTACACAATTTTATTATGAACCTAACTTGCTCTAAAAAATAAAATCTATTGAGAAAGGAGGGGAGGTTATATAAAAACTAAAATAATAATAATAATAATAATAATAATAATAATAATAATAATAATAAAGAATATACAGCATATTTTATGCTAGTGAAATTTTAGAAATAATTTTAAGGTCTATTTATAGTCATTGGAATACATAAATTACATGCATACTATAAAAATCATATAACAAAACATTTCCATTTCCATAAAATATATTGAATTGTATATACTTTCAATTGTGCATATAAAAATTCTTTTGAAGATTTTCACCAAAGTGGCAACCATTTCTCTCTTGACACTAAGATCTTGTGAGGAGGGATCTTTATACTTTCCATTGTCTTTCAGTTGTGTACCAGGAATATACATTATTTTATAAAAAATGTTTTTCAAATGGAAAGAATAAGCAACCAGAATAATGTGTAGAAAGCATTATTATGCCAAATTATTAAAAGAATAGTACTGTCTCCGGGTGTGTCTCTTTCTTTCTTCTATATTAGTAACTAGGCTTGAAACAGATTTCTCTTTCTCCGCAGGTCTTATGACCCGCCTCCGCTGCCCGGTTGGGCTGATGGGTTGTTTACCAGCCACAGCTGGCTTTAGCTATGGTAAGGTATTGCACACTTAGTAAAGAACCTACGGTAGACACCTTAAATCCTCAGCCCTTCTGAAATGTCTATTTAGATAAACTTCTTTTCAAAGCTTAACCCTCCCACCATGTTTAAATAATGCATTTCATAAAAGCAATTTCAACTCCAGGGAGAAATACTTCATATTTCACTCCACGTCACCAGGAGACTTAATCTTCATCCTTTAGATAAATGAGAGTTCTTTTTATTTGGATGTTCAGGCTGTTACTCTCTGGTTACAAGGGTGTTTGGGAGACAACTGAACCCCAAGAGAACCTACCAAAAAATACTGTTAAAAGTGTCTTTTTCATCTTTTTTATAGAAAGTAGTTCAATTCAAACAGTGCAAATTCTATAAAATGTGGTATTTGTGAATCTGTGAGAATAAGAGTGAGCCAGGGAGTCCTGTTTAATACTCTGGCAGTATTTTGTTCCCTTAAATCTCTCCCATTAGTGGTACTCAGGTTATGCTGAAAATCATGATGACATAATTATATCAGGGTGTTGTTTGGTGAAGTGGGTAGAAGGGTGATTTCAGGCTGCCCCCATCATTCCTCTGCCTTGTAGAAACTATATATAATAAAAAGTGCCACTGTCAGTCATGTATTTAAGTTAAATAGATGCTCTTTAATTTCTTAGAAATGAAATTTTTCTACTTTTTGTAACATATAAAACAGTGCAAAATTAGTATCTATAGCTTGATTTTACCTTATTTATATATTAAATATTATATAATCTGACACTATACAGCCTTTCATGTCTGACTTCTTCCTGTCCTCATTACATCTGTGAATTTTACCCATGGTGCTGGCCATGGTAGGTTCATTTTTGCTGTGACATGGTGCTATATTCCAGGACTGACCCCCTGGTGATTTACCCATTTGTCTTTAGATGGCCATTTGGGTTGTGACCAACTTTCGGCCCTAACAAAAAGTATTGCTACTAATATTACTCGCATCTTTAGATGAAGCTAAGTGTGCATATATGCTCCAGTGAATGTTGGATATATACCACAGAGCAGTCTTACTGGGTCACAGGGTATGCACGTGCTTAGATTTAGTAGATATGGTCAGGTTCCCAAGTTTATACCAAATTCCACTACCACATACAATGTACAAGCATTTCAGTTGCTCCATATTTTTAACCTTGTCAACATTCGGTATTATTTTTTTCTTTTTTAAACATTTTAGCTGGCTGTGATGGCATGCACCTCTAATCCCAGAAGCTCAGGAGGCTGAGGCCAGGGGACCTTGAGTTCAAAGCCAGCCTCAGCAGCTTAGCAAGGCCCTAAGCAACTTCGCAAGACCTTATCTCAAAATAAAAAATTAAAATAGGACTGAGGATGTGGCTCAGTGGTTAAGCAATCCTGGATTCAATCTCTGGTACCAAAATAAAACAAAACACCACACATAAAAAAACCATTATTTTAGCCAATCTGGTGAATGTGAAGAAGTAGTATCTTATTATGGCTTAAATTTGTATATCCCTAATGAGTATTTATTTTGATCACTCTTTCATAGGTTTAGTGGCCATTTGGAATTCTCTTTTATGACCAAATAACTTTTGCCCTTACAATAGGTCTCCATGTCTTTTCTAGTTAGTTCATTTATGTTCTAAATAGGAATATAAATATGGATATATGTTTTTAGAAATATCTTTTCCTAGTCTGTTACTTACCTTTTTGCTTTCTCAAAGGGGTGTTTTTGATGAACAGATAGAATTATGAACTGTAATTTCTCATCGTTTTCCTTTATGATAATATTCTGTTAAATAAATTTATGCCAATACCAAGGTGATGACTATATTCTACCAGGTTTCTTTTCAAATGTATCCCTGGGAGGAGGAATAATTCATATAGTTGGAATGAGGCCATCAGCTTTTAGTTTTTTTTTAAATGAATTACTCTAAAGTTCCAGCAGGTGTTGGTGTTGATGTATAAAAGGGAGATGCTTAAAAAATGATTTGATATTTAACAGTGCTCAAGAAGGTTATTTTAGAAATAGTTCTCTCCCCAACCCCATTTGCTTCTATAGAATGAGAAATACACAATAACACAAATGTACTATTTTTTTAAAAAAATATTTATTTTTTAGTTGTAGTTGGCCACAATACCTGTATTTTATTTATTTTTATGTGGTGCTGAGGATCGAACCCAGGGCCTCACATGTGCTAGGCGAGCGCTCTACTGCTGAGCCACAACCCCAGCCCCTCAAATATACTCTTAGATGTGTGGGGGTTAGAGTTCTGACATTGGACATGTTTATTAGATGAATTGATTAGATTTCCATAAGATGAGGACACACTAAGGCAGAAAAGTTTTTTGGGGTGAAGTGAAACAAACACTAGAAGAAGCTGAAAGGAGGAAAGGGAGTATCACAAAATTCATCTGCCTTACAAAGTTAACACCAGGACACAACCAAACTGGGAACATACCTGCTTTATGTCCCAGACCTAGTTTTGGTCAGCTTAGTTTAGAAAGACATGGAAATGAGTTTCATTTCTTTTTTTTTTAATTTTTTATTGTTGATTGTTCAAAACATTACATAGTTCTTGATATATCATATTTCACTCTTTGATTCAAGTGGGTTATGAGCTCCCATTTTTACCCCATATACAGATTGCAGAATCACATCAGTTACACATCCATTGAATTATACATGTTTTGATATCCTCACTTTGTTGGACATTGCTCTCCAAGGAAGTAGAGTTTGAATTTTTAAACTCAATGTTTTGAATTGCACAGGTAAGCCACAATGAGAGTATTAAAATTCGTTATACCCTCTCTCCACTCATTTATGAATTTTTTTAACCACTGTGTAAAATAAAGGGATAGGAATAGATAATTCCTTAATCTTTTCTAACTCTAAAATTTTAGCATTCGTTCCCCTCCTTGTAACATGGATGTTTTACTTTCCCAGAAAAGTGGGAGATAGATCCGACTGAACTGGCTTTTATCAAGGAGATTGGAAGCGGTCAGTTTGGGGTGGTTCACTTAGGTGAATGGCGAGCATATCTGCCGGTAGCTATCAAGGCCATCAATGAAGGCTCTATGTCTGAAGAGGATTTCATTGAAGAAGCCAAAGTGATGATGTAAGTATAAGGAACATACAGACAAATATTGCCTAATACCTGGTGTCATGGAAAGAACATGGACTTTGGAATCGGCCCACCATGGATTTATGACACAATTCTGCTCAAACTGGTTGTGTAATCCAGACAAATTCTTAAACCTCTGTGACCTGGACGAATTATTTCAGTGTCCTCATGTGTAAAATGGGGATAACAGTACCTACTTCTCTGGATCATTGTGTAATTAAATATGAGGATACAAAATATACCAGCAAGTGTAATTCTTTTCAGTTCAAGAATAGGTGCTTGATTGTTCTATATTTTTCCTTTTCCCTGAAGAAAAATGTTGATTTTGTTTGGGTAGTAGTATGTTGCTCTTTTTTTTGAAAGGGCATCCCCTAGTGGTTTCCTTTTCTTTTTTCTTTTTTTCTTTTGGCAAGGATAAAGTATTTACTTTCAGAGAATTTAAGAATACTGAGCTTTAAAAGAGAAGTGGTTCATTGTAGACCATTGGGCAGTGCTCTTAAAATTTTAATTTTCCAGGACACCATTTTGACTAAGTTGAACTCATAGCTGTGGTTTATAATTGTAACCTGGGTTGGACCAGGACAAATCAATAATTTGGCAGAGTTCAAATCAACATTCTTTAAATATTGGTTCACCTTTACTTAGAAAAGGATCAATGCCCTGAAGAAGAATAACCCCAAATAGCATTACTTAGTTGTCCAGGGCAATTTAATTCCATCTCAAACTTGCAGAATTGGAAACAAAACAACACGACAAACGACAACCCAAACTGATCAGCTGGACCCATTCTCCTTGGAAGGCAGAGCAATGATGTCTTGGTTCTTCCGAATTTTGTTCCCAAGTATTGGATCAAAATGTCCTTTCTGGCCACATAACAGAATGAATCCAGAGGAAGGTTATGATAAGCACGATTTTCCAGTGACATCAGATTCCCAATGACATTTTTGTGTCTCAAGGTAGCTCAAGCACCTATATGCCTGGCCTCTGCTCTCTTTGATATGATATCCATCTGACCATGGTTTTCCTATGTCTAAAGGACAAAAATTATAGTCTTGTGTGTTAGATTAAATAGGCATAATATGAAAATGAGTGAGAGATGTAGGACTCAGAGGGAATTGAAGGCATATTGGAATCTCTATCAAACAAGAATTAGCAATATCTGATATCATGATGAGGGAATTCTTTAATGATTCAAGCTTGGTTGGGAAATTGGGTTAGGATCTTTGGGGATGATTTTTAAAATGTTTTTATTAATGCATTATACTTATGCATAACGGTGGGGTTCATTTTGACATAACCATACATACATGTTAAACAATTTGCTCCATTTCAGTCCCTAGTACTTCCTCTTTCCCTTTTACGTTCCTCCCTCTGTTCCCCTTCTTCTATTAAACTGGTTTCCAGAAGTTCAGGAGATTAGACAAAGGGGAATGAAGGGAAGGGAGTGGGCAAGAAAAGGAAAGACAGTGGAATGAATCTGACATAATTTTCCCATACCTATATGAATGCATCACAACAAATCCCACCATTGTGTACATCCACAGGAATGGAGTCCTAATTAGGATATGATATATTCCAAACTTGTATAATTATAACAAAAATAACTAAAAAGAACCAACAAAAACTGCTTTTCCTTTTTAATTTATTTATTTTAATTGGTGCTTTATAGATATACATAAAGGTGAAATTCACTAGTATGTTCATATATGTACATAGCATAATTTGGTCAATTTCATTCCACAGTTCCTCCCTTTTCCTGTCCCTCCTCCCTCCCCTTTAATCCCCTTCATCTACTCCATTGATCTCCTGAGGATAATATTTTGAAGGTGATGGAAGATGTATGTAGTGTGAGAATAGAAACAGCTTCTGGCAGTTTATAGAAGCAGGAATGAGGCCAACGACTTCTAAGTCAGTTCAGATGGACATTGCCGCAGTCTGGCTGGGCACAAAATCACGAGCCACCACACAGCTTGTAGATTCAAACAGCAACTCTTTATTCCCGAACTCACACCAGCCGTCTACAATCACGTTCTGGGGAAATCCACGTTCTCTGCCCAAATCCACCTCCACTGGGCTTCTATCTCCCAAAAAATACTGTCTGAATCCCGTGAGAACTCAAGGGGAACTCAGGCAGCAGGATACGCCCTATTCCCAGCAGGAATAATCTTAAACCTGGAACGCCCTAAACCCGATTATCCTAAACTGGGAACACCCTAATCCCGGATCCTCCCTGGTCCTTGAGCAAGGTCACCTAACTGCAATGTCACTGCAAAATGTCCTATTTCCACGAGTCCTTCCACTAAGCAACATGGGGTACGCTGGCAAGGAAATTGTCATACCTACTTGGCTAATGGCTCCCAGCATCTCCCCCCTTCTGATTAATTAAACAACAAGCAATGTGGCTTAAGGACCGTGCCTGGTAGGTTGTCCAATTCAACATATGGTTCTTACCCGTCATCGGAAAACTGACCTTTAGGCGTCAGCCTCCTGTCTTAGGTTGATACCACTGCAATTGAATCATACCCGTCACTGACTACCGGTCCAGCATACAGCCATACTTGTGGATAGGTCTATGCACCAGTGGGGGGGTGAGGTTCTTTGCCTCACCTCTGTTGGCCCCCAAATTTGGCCTTGGTGCCAGTGGGGGAGTGAGGTTAATGTGGCATATGGACCGTGCCTGGTAGGTTGTCCAATTCAACATATGGTTCTTACCCGTCATCGGAAAACTGACCTTTAGGCGTCAGCCTCCTGTCTTAGGTTGATACCACTGCAATTGGATCATACCCGTCACTGACTACCGGTCCAGCATAAGCCATTGGCCCCCAAATTTTAGACCATCACTAGCAGAAGGGAGGAGGATACAGAAATGCCACAACACCAAGCCAATTGACGGCTCCTTGGGAAAAATTACATCACTGGTGCCACCATCAGCAAAGATATGCCAGCACTACCACAATTAACATGGGGTGCGCTGGCAAGGAAATAAAAATTGCATCACTGGTGACACCATCAGCAAAGATATGCCAGCATTACCACAATTCGCTGCACCAAATGATAGTTACATAGTCCAGGCAAGTTCTGCAAGCAGTTCAAAGCGGAGGAATCTATCAATATGTCCATTTCCTCCCAAAATCCATTTCCTCCCAAAGTAAGTTGACTCCTTGATTGAGCATTACTTGTTGAGTTATATTCATTGATGCATCAGTTTATACAGTTTACTGTGATAGCTATCATAGAAGCTGTAGTTTGGTTTTATCTTTGTCTTCACCGGCACTGGGATGAAGATAGGAATTCTGGCAATGATGCTAAAGAGACATTATCCTGAAAAGAATTATTGAATATAATGAAAAGGAAAGGTGAAAGTAAACAAACAGATCTGTTAACCTACTTTAAAAACAATCCTTAACAGCTGTTTACCTAATTTAAATTAAACCATTTAAATCACGTGAATAAAAAAAAATAATAATTCGGATCCATTTTTTCATGAGCGCTCCTCATATAAGAAATATGGACATACGCACATACAGACATACAACACAAAACACAAATGTGCACACAAACGTACAACACATAAGAAAATAGTAAAGGCCTTGTAGCTTTACCTAGGTGAAATCTCCATTGCAATGTTTAAAAACTTCACAGTTAAAAAATAAAACTGATCAGAAAAACATTAACCTAGGTTTGTATGAGCTCAAAAAATAAAAATAGAACCTTATGATGTGGAAAAATGCAATAATAAAATAGCTATTGAAAAAGCATCCTGGTTAATCACTGTCGCAGATGTAAGAATGGCCAAGCTGGAGTTCTGGATATCAGCTGTTATGGATTTGAGTCAAATCATCTTCTTTTCGATCTGTAGAAATTGTTTTAGTTAATCTCTCTGGAATCCAAATCGGCTGCTGTTCTCCCTGTGGAAAAACACAAACAGACCCCCAACTCCAGACAATCACTGGGTCAGGACCTTTCCATTGTCCTGTTAGAATATCTTTCCAAAGTACTTTAGGCTTATGTACATTTTTTGGATACATGTGTCTTTCCGCAGCACTAAGTCCTGATGAATCCAAATTTTAAAAGTTTACAGTAAAAAGCGTTATTTTAAGTTTATCTTTGGGGGATATATACCCCCTTCCAGTTCCCTCTTTTTGCTTTAATAAGTATGTTTTAATAGTTTGATGAGCTCTTTCAACTATGCCTTGTCCCTGTGGATTGTATGGGATTCCTGTTATATGAGTAATACCAAATGATGAGCAAAATTGTTTAAAAGAGGTAGAGGTATAGCCAGGACCATTATCGGTTTTTAACTGTTTAGGAACGCCCACAGTGGCAAAATTTTGTAAGCAATGAGCTATAACATCTTTAGTTTTTTCTCCGGCATGAAGGGAGCCCATCAAAAATCCAGAAGAAGTATCAACTGTAAAGTGTAAATATTTTAATTTTCCAAATTCTGGCAAGTGTGTGACGTCCATCTGCCAAATATGGTTAGGTATCAGTCCTCTAGGATTGACTCCAAGATTAACTTGTGGTAAAAATGTCACACAATTTTGACATTGTTTTATTATATGTCTGGCTTGTTCCTTAGTTATTTTAAAACGCTTTTGTAAAGTATTAGCATTAACATGAAACCTTTTATGAAAATTTGTAGCTTCTTCAAATGTAGAGAAAATATGTATGTCATGTGTAGTTTTATCTGCTAAATCATTGCCTAAACTAAGGGCTCCAGGCAATCCTGTATGTGCCCTAATATGTCCTATAAAGAATGGATCTTTTCTGTCCCAGATTAGACTTTGTATAGTGGAAAACAAAGAGAAAACAGTAGAAGAAGGGGAAATCCTACCAGCTAATGGCTCCCAGCAGGACATAATGTGTTCTTGGATTTGAATGTGTTTTTTTTTTTAATTTAAGTAGGCAGGAAAAGCTCCATTCTAGCATCCTATTGCAAATACATTCATCTTTAAATAGTTGACATGCATCGAGTTCTGTCTGCTGCATATCCACAGCTCTGCCCATGTTTTTTGGATCAGGAGTACTTTATTCCCTTTAAGTTATTAAACCCCTGCTTTGCCTTTAGTGGGTCCTTTGTTTTAGTTTTTCACTTGTGGGTTTGTATCTTTAGATGTAGCATATCAATAGCCTTGCACTATTTGGAGATACGTGATCTAGTAACATTTAAAACAAAGAAAAATATGTGTAAGTACATCTAATTTTCTAAGAGCTTTGATGTGAATCTCTTGATTCATTATGTCTGTGTCATGTCTTCACAGTAGAATATTTTAGTTTTGGAAAAACAGGCTTTAACATTTTATATTAATGCTAAACAGAATTGAATCAAGAATTGAAAATACCATTTGTTATTCTCTCTCCCTACTGAAGTATTTTCTCCAGGGGTAATTAATTAATAATAAAGTTTTTAATTGGGTTCTTTGACCCTATTACTTACATTAAATAATTGATATTATTAAAATTAAATGCTTTTACATAATACTATTATAAGAAACACATTTTTAAATATCACTTAAAATCAGGACATTTGGAAAACTAAGAAAGGGAGAGGATTCATCTAATATCTCTCCTAACATATTTCTTTATAGCTTTTATTCTTTCCATCCAATCTTTTATAAAATTGTATTGAGTCTTCTTTTCTGCCTAAAAAAATAAAAACTTCAAGGTGAATGAAGAGAAAGTTTTAGAAGTATAGCAGATCAGGAAAAGAAGGAGGATTCAGGAATGAGAGGAAAAGGAAAAATAAAAGAAAATCTACTTTTCAGAAGTGTAAGTTCTGAGGAGCTCTTCTATTGGTGTAAGGATTTAGAAAGAAAGAGGACAGAATACCCCAAGGGCAGCCTTCTGGGAAAGACAGAGCCTGGCTCTAATTGCCTGAGTTTGTGCTAAACCATGCATAAATGCAGATCACATTGCAAACTCTTGCTATGATATCCACAGCAATCTTTTGAATTAGAAATATTTTATTTCACAAAGATTTCATTGTATCCCTTACAGCTTTGTTAAAAAAATATATAGCATCAGGGCCAGCATTCAGTTTTCTTGCATCCATTCACTCAATAAATGTCTGTTGCTGATTTTGTAAGTACTAAGTTCTAGAAATAGGTTGATAAGTAGCACAGGTCAATTTCCTACTCTTGAAGAGTTCATTTATGCCCATGCACTAGTGGGAAATGGGGAGGAAAACAGATAGCAGACCAACAAACAAAGGAGCAGTATAGCTTTGAAGAGAAGTAAGGATAAAGACTCCCAACGAGATGATATGACAAAGATATTAGGGGCAGGTTGGGGAGCTCAGTTGGATTGGATGGTCAAGGAAGATTGGAAGCATTTCATCTGGTTTATATTCTATGTAGGTCACACTGGTTGTTTTGTGGAGAATGATTGATAGGAATCAGGGGTGGGAGAGTAGGTTGAAGGCTATTGCAGGGGTCAAGGTGGAAGATGATGGTGGGTGGAATGAAGGTGAAGATGAAAGAAGAGAGTTGTTTCAAGATACATGTTTGAGAAAAAGTGATCAAGACCTGTTATGCCAAATGTGGAAGATAATGGGAGGAAACCAGGAGAACAAAAGTGATTCCAAAGTATTGGTGTACACTGCTAGGCAGAGGGTTTCACTTACTGACATACATAGGTTCGGGAAAAAATTAAGAATTTTGCTTTGGAAATGTTAAATTTGAGAGCCCTATCAGACAGCCAATGGTGACCAAGTGGTCAGGTGAATACATGAGTCTGGAGTTCAGGAGGAAGGTCAAGGTGGAGGGAATTAATTTGAGAGTGATCACCAGAGATGATATTTAAAACCATGAAACTTGATTCAACAGGAAAGGGAATAAATAGAAAAGGACAATGGAGAAATCTACAATGGGTTTGAAAAATTTAAATAAATATAGAATAAATAATATTTAATAAGCAAATATATTAATAAATGGTATTTATTAATATTTGATAAATTAAAGACATTTGCTCTACAATGACTCATATATTTCTCTAAGTTATTAAGAAGTACTAAATTTAAAGAAAAAAGAATGTACTTTTCCTGTGCCAATGAGAAACATTTGTTTTATTTGTTAGACTGAATATACATGAGAGTTTGTTTTATTTGTTTTTGCCTTATTTCTGATAGGTTTTTTGCCATTGGTCTTGAAAGCCAATGCAGTGTAATGTTTCAATTCTCAAATGTTTCCTTGTGGATATTAGGTTGGTGGCTTTCTTATGGCAAATTAATATTCCATTTCAAGACTTGCTTTTCTGCCATTGCTTGGCACACATAAACTGCATTCCTTAACTGAAAGTATACTTTGAGAACTTGAAAGGTAAATCTGACAAGATATGTAGATATGTATATGTATGTATGTGTGTGTGTGTATATATATATATATATATATATATATATATATATATCTCCAAGATTAAAATAATGTTTAGGGTCTCTGAGTGCCTTTTATCCATTAACTGGAGTGTTTTCACAAATTGATTTTATGGTAATGTGTCTGTAATCACATCATGTACTTTGTTTTAAGGTAAACATTCTTCCAGAGTCACTGAGTTTATTTTACTGTTCTGAAGGAGAAGAGGTAATTTTCAAAATACTTTTGACTAACAGAGAATTGCTTATTATACATCTTGTAAAATTACAAACATTGATTCAAAGTTGTTTTCCATGGTGATCAGTTAGCATAAAAGGCCTTTAGAGATTGCATTTTATATTCCACAGAAGAAACAATAAACTTTTGAAGTCTAGATGACTAGGAATTTCTGGGTATGTTTTAACAGACAACATTCAAGGTCCCTGTGTGTATGTGTATATGTAATTACTAAATACAAAGCAAGATTTCATGTTGGAAAATGTTTTCTTAGTCTCTATTTAAAAATTTCTAAAGCCATTGAAAATGCCTTTACTCTTTAGAATGTATGTATGTATGTATGTATGTATGTATGTATGTATTGGTATCAGGGATTGAACCCAGGGGCACTCAACCACTGAGCCACCTCCCCAGCCCTATTTTGTATTTTATTTAGAGACAGGGTCTTATTGAGTTGCTTAGTGCCTCAGGATTGCTGAGGCTGGCTTTGAACTCAAATTCCTCCTGCTTCAGCCTCCCGAGCTGCTGGAATTCCAGGCATACGCCACTGTGCCCAGCTTGATGGTTTTGGTCACTCCTCTCTTCTGTCCATCCAGGAGTTTTTGTCTGAGTGGAGAAAATTAGAAAGGTTGGGAGTCAAGGAGCAGATCTCTGAGGCCTGGGCCTGGAGAAGCAGTAATGAGGAAGCAGAAGGCTTACAAGTTGGAAAGGGTAAAACTAGAATGCTAACAAGTAGAATATAACATACGGCAACAATGACTTTGGAAGCACTGACCCTACTTTCTCAGTGTGTAAAGTGGAAAGAAAAATACTCTCTCTGTGGTTGGGCTGATGTTTATCTTGACAATGAAAATGACATATGGATGGCAAACATTACCACTTGTGTAAAACAAACACTTTGATTTGCAAAACCGATTCTGCTCACTGCTCTGTTCTTCTTCAACAGGAAACTATCCCATTCAAGGCTGGTTCAACTTTATGGGGTATGTATACAGCAGAAGCCCCTTTATATTGTGACAGAGTTTATGGAAAATGGCTGTCTGCTTAACTACCTCAGGGACAGAAAAGGAAAGCTTAGGAAGGAGATGCTCCTGAGTGTGTGCCAGGATGTGTGTGAAGGAATGGAATACCTGGAGAGGAACTGCTATATCCACAGAGATTTAGTGAGTATGGTGCAAATTCCCTTCTTGTTTCACGCACTGTACCTGTGTTTGGAAGGAGACGGTCATTACTTCCAATACTTTGAAGAATGTATCCTCTGACTTCATTTTAAAACCTTTCCTCTTTAAGTAATTTGTTGTGAAATGTAGTTTTACTTTTTTTATTGCCCAGGGATGTTGAAACCTAGTATTTTATTCTAAATGTGCCTTGAATTAATTAACCACCTATTCCATCAGTTAATCACAATGGATTTACTTTGGTTTATCCTCTTGCTTTCTCCCTTCTGTTTACTTTCCTTCCACCTTACTTCCTTTGAACACGTAATCAAACATGTGCCAAGTGCCTAGTCTATGCCAAGCACTCTTCTAGGTACTTGAGACAACAGCGAAGAGCAAATTCCAGTGGTTCTCTCCCCGGGGTGCAGTTGCCACAGTGTGCAGCTGTTTTGGTTCTGACAGTACTGCAAGACAGCTAGTTATTGGCATTACTGAGGGAAGGAGACTAGAAATGCTTAGAGCATTCCGATTTTTAAAAAAATTACTATCTTGTCCCAAACCAAATGTTAACAGCACTGCTTCCCTTTTTCGCTACCTCCCCTGCAATAACGTGTTCTGTTCATTGCACATTTACTCAAGATATTCATTCTATTCCTTCTACATCCTTCCATGTCTCATTTCTGAATATAAAAATTAACTTAAATGAGTATTTGAAGGTTCTATAAGAAACCTCTGACACTGTCACCTAGAACTAATCCTGTTCTTCCATCACATCTGACCAAGAGTGACCATATTTCTGTTTCTGTCACTTGTCTGCGTTATATAGGGGAGAGAAAGGAGGCCTAGTTACCTTGGCTCTGGTACACCTTGGGAAGTAAGCTTATCCCACCCATGACTCAGAACTCTCATGACGTTTATTTTTTACTGCTTCATATAATAGTTAATTTTTTACATTGTTTACTAGCTGTATGACCCTGTGCCAGCCTGTTAACCAGTAAAACAGTATTAACTATAGTAACTCCCTTGTATGGGTTTGGTGGGAGGAGTCCATGAATGACTATGTGCAAGCTCGTCAAACAGTGCCTGGCTCATCTGAGAGTTCTGCAATGTAATTGGGGCTATTACAGGGACAGATCCCTGTTCTTCATCCCTCATGGCACATCTCCCAGTATCCAGCACATAGGAGCTATTGAGCAAATTTTTGAATGGATGGATGTGGTATCTGTTGCACCTAGCTCACTTTTCTGGTCTCTATAGGTTTGTCTTTCCTGGGTTATAATTCAAAACTCAGTTATGCGACCATCCTCATTGTTCTGTTTGCTCCAGGTAGTTTCCCACAGGTTCTTCTATGCCTGGTATCTCCCTTGATTGTTTTCTTTACACTCTATTTTATCTACCTACATGCTCCATAAAACTTATCAGCTAATAACGAGTCTGTTCTGTCAAGGACGTTCTTGTGGTTTGGCTTGGAGATCACTGTTGGTACCTGCCGGCGTTATCCTTGCTGGCTCCTTCCAGTTTACCATTTCAACTTTCTTGCCTTTTTCTTTTCTTTTTTTTTTTTTCATACTACAGGTTGTGCCCACAGGTGCCAGCCCTTGTTATTTTGTTTTATTTTTTTAATTTTGAGACAGGGTTTCTCTAGGTTGCCCAGGCTTGTAAGGAATAATAATAAAGAGGAGACAGAGAGACAAGGTGCAGAGGCAGGGCTCTTTGTTTAAGTGGCCACCTTTATTTATACCACTAGGTTACATTAGGTCATTAGTACCATAACCACATTATTATTTAGAGTATCGGTAAGGTTGCTTATTCTGCAGGTACATTTCGCAGTTACAATATGCAATGTTAGGAGCTTTGTGTAGTTCTCAAGAAAGTCCATTGTCTGAAGTTACTGTTAGGCAGGCAGCTCCAGAAGCACAGGAGCTTGATGAAACATTGTAGTTATATAACAAACAAGTTCTTCTATTCCCAGGAGCTATGTGCCTGCAATCAAGGGCGAGGCTTGATGAAGCTCTAACACAGAGGCATCTCAGAGCATTGCCATACCAGCTAGACATTGCACATTTATTAGCTATATTATTAGATCCTAAGAGAGATTACAGGGCATTCTAAGGGTGCCTATTACTGCCCGCACCCCCAACCCCCTGGGAGTTTTCTTACCGGGGCAATGCTTCCCTGTACATTTCCATGATCAGAATCCCTACACAGGTTGCCCTCCAACTTGTGCTCCTCTTGCCTCAGCCTCTGGAGTCACTGGGATTACAGGTGTGCACCACTGCACCTGGCTAAGTTTTTTGCTTTTGTTGCTGGACCCATTGAACCACAAATTGGCTGAAAAGAAAAAAAATTCTATCAAGCAGTTCAACTTTATGATGCAAAACAACCAAATTAATGATTTTCTTGATTAAGTTGGTAAAGATGGATCGTTTGGGCGTCAACTATTTTATGTTGATTTTATATTGTACCATATTTAGTTCACTGCAGTAATTTTATATGAAATTATCACTACAAAATAGTTATCTTCAGTGAAATTTCAGTTTTTAAACTATAATTTCTTAATTTTTACCACCTAGTAGAGATCCTAAAGATATGAAATGACTTTTCTTATCTACCATGGATATTGGGTTTCTTCTTTTACTTGATAAGTAACAAACATACTACGTTTAGGCAAAGACTCATTGTTTATCATTGTTAGATTAAATTAATCCTCATATTTATGAAGTATATTTCATGAGAAAGATTAAACATTTTAAAAAGTGTTGACATTTCAATTTGTTACTACATTAAAGAATCACTAAAATTCATCCTATAAGGGCAGGCTATTAAATCATATGTAACGTTGGTAGGTATCATTATAACAATAGCATGGCTGGCCACACCAAGGGGTGTGTGAAAACTAAGGAAAAGGAGAACAGATGCTTTTTTCAGTGCTGGGAATGACCCAGCATCCTGTGCAACACCCCCAGCTCAGAAACTCTTGAAGGAAAAACTTATAGTCAAATTGGATTATTTTTTTCCTTTTATAGGCAGCAAGGAATTGTTTGGTCAGTTCTACATGTATAGTAAAGATTTCGGACTTTGGAATGACCAGGTAAGTGATAAATCTAGATATAATTTAAATCAGCTATATTTATATCTGTATCTATATTTTTCACTCATTATAAGGAATCTTACATTTATCTATGGAGAAATTGAAGTTGTTCTCCTCTGCTCTTTTCATCTGGGGGAAGTGTTGGTGTGGTTGTGTGGCCCGCTGACCCACTTTGGATTTCAGGACATGTGCCAGTTTTAACTGTGAGATAGGCATTTACTTACTGTGGGCTATTCTTATCTTTCAGGTCATCATTAACAAAACTATGGTAGATCTTAAATCAAAAAGAATTTCTCAGTCCACTCATCTGTGTAAGATTAAGAAAAATACTTTCCTGATAAGTGTAGATTTTTGGAAGGAAAAAGGCAAAGATGTATTTGTTCAGCCCCGACTTTCTAGGTCACCATCCCAAACACATGTATTATGGAGTGGAGTCGCTGGCTTCAAGTCTACAACTCAAGAGTGTGAGAGATTTAGCCATGTATTTTGCAATTCAATGTAATTTACATTTTGAGTCCCCTTTTCTTTGGGGCGCTAGAAACTTAACATCAATAAATCCAGAGTTTCTCTCTGACTTTCTTCAACATCAGTGTCCCACTTCTGGATGTGTCATGGGGCTGGGTTCTGGAAGGGAGGTGACTTCTCTGGTCCTGCTGTTATCCATGCACAATGACATTTTTGTAACCACCATCCTCCTGCTTCAGCCAGCCACACACAGGTGACTTCTCACTCATTCTGAATTTCTGTCTGCAAATTCCTTCAGAACTGGCATTCTCTATGACTAGAAAATTCCATAGATCTCACATACCTAGGCACATCCACAGGCATTTATTCTCTGGAATTTTTGCCTTTCCTGGGCCATCATTTGGGAAAGGTTCTGTTTTGATCTTGAGTCTCATTGACCCAATATAGGAGTGGGAGCATCTTTTCCTGCTATGTGACCTGGGCCACCCTTATAGTGTAGAAGATATCACCAATGCCTGGTACTCCTTTTCTTTCCCTTCAGTTCTTCCTTTCTCTTAGCCCAGGGAATCTTTTTCTAGGTAAATGGATGAATGGTGGTGGTGGTGTTGGTGAGAATTCATGATCCATTTCCCCAATGTCTTATTAATAATCCAAATGGTGTTTGCTCCTTTGTTTCCTCTTATTCATTCTTTATCTAAGCAGAATGACCTCTGACTCAATATGGGAGATCTTAAAGGTGGTGTGAGATGGAGTACATGGGGGAAAAGTGGGAGTGTAGGGGCAGCATTAATACATAATTTAAAAATTATAATTATAATTTATAATAATAATAAACAATTTAAAATTATATTGTGTATTCAAGGGGCAACAAGCACACATTAGTTGTTGTATCTTCTCTCCAGATTCCCATACTTTGACATTTCTGCGTACAATTCTCAAAAAAAAAAAAAAAAGAGAGAGAAAGAGAGAGAGTTTCATATCTTTTTAAGGAAAGGACAATTATTTAGAGTTTGTCTACTTCTCCCATGCTCCCTCTCCCTGCCCCACTATAGTCAGTCACCTTATATCAGAGAAAACATTCGTCATTTGTTTTGTTTTTTTTGTTTGGAATTGGCTAACTTCATTTAGCATTATCTTCTCCAGTTCCTAGTTCTTTTTATCATGCCATTATATTAGAGATTTTCACATCAAAGTGTATTCTGCTCCTATGCTTTTATTCTCCCTTCCCCTTCTCTATGCCCCACAAAAATGTGTACATGAAAGAAAATATAGCATTCAATTTAGAATTCATTCTTTTTCAGTCTAAGAAGGCTGGTCTTTTATTTCTTTTTTAATAATTTTGGCTGTTAGAACATTTGGAATGCCTCTTTATATAGTTAAGAATGAATCAAAATAAACATATAGAGTAGGCCACTATTTTGAACTGAGGAATTGTTATGGTTTTCTAAGATCCAATGAAAATAAACACAATGAGATTTGGTTTGGGGAGAAAATCCTCTGAAGGATAATTTCACACTCTGCTAATGAGAAGAGAATGTATATTGAACCTTTCTGGGGTAAAATATGTCTTTTGGCAAATCAGGGATTTTAAGTTAATAGATCGTGGAGGTAATTAACACAGTGTGTTTTGAATCTGGTGACTGTAGGTATGTTTTGGATGATGAATATATCAGTTCTTCTGGAGCCAAGTTCCCAATCAAGTGGTCCCCGCCTGAAGTTTTTCATTTCAACAAATACAGCAGTAAATCTGACGTCTGGTCATTTGGTGAGTGAATTCAGTGCTCCTTTGGTGCTGCTTATTTTATTTAAATGGGTAATCTTTTTATCTTTATTTCTTAATAAAAGGCAACCTTTTTTTTTTACTTTTGTTTTAGTTTTATTTTTTTTTTAATTTTTATTTTTTTTATTTTTTATTGTTGGCTGTTCAAAACATTACATAGTTCTTTTTTTTTTTAATTTTTTATTGTTGGCTGTTCAAAACATTACATAGTTCTTGATATATCATATTTCACAATTTGATTCAAGTGGGTTATGAGCTCCCATTTTTACCCCATATACAGATTGCAGAATCACATCAGTTACACATCCATTGATTTACATATTGCCATACTAGTGTCTGTTGTATTCTGCTGCCTTTCCTATCCTCTACTATCCCCCCTCCCCTCCCCTCCCCTCCCCTCCCCTCCCCTCTTCTCTCTCTGCCCCCTCTACTGACATTCGTTTGTCCCCCTTATATTATTTTTCCCCTTCCCCTCACTTCCTCTTGTATGTACTTTTGTATAACTCTGAGGGTCTCCTTCCATTTCCATGCATTTTCCCTTCTCTCTCCCTTTCCCTCCCACCTCTCATCCCTGTTTAATGTTAATCTTCTTCTCATGCTCTTCGACCCTACTCTGTTCTTAGTTACTCTCCTTATATCAAAGAAGACATTTGGCATTTGTTTTTTAGGGATTGGCTAGCTTCACTTAGCATAATCTGCTCTAATGCCATCCATTTCCCTGTAAATTCTATGATTTTGTCATTTTTTAATGCAGAGTAATATTCCATTGTGTATAAATGCCACATTTTTTTTATCCATTCATCCATTGAAGGGCATCTAGGTTGGTTCCACAGTCTAGCTATTGTGAATTGTGCTGCTATGAACATCGATGTAGCAGTGTCCCTGTAGCATGCTCTTTTTAGGTCTTTAGGGAATAGACCGAGAAGGGGAATAGCTGGGTCAAATGGTGGTTCCATTCCCAGCTTTCCAAGAAATCTCCATACTGCTTTCCAAATTGGCTGCACCAATTTGCAGTCCCACCAGCAATGTACAAGTGTACCCTTTTCCCCACATCCTCGACAGCACTTGTTGTTGTTTGACTTCCTAATGGCTGCCAATCTAACTGGAGTGAGATGGTATCTTAGGGTGGTTTTGATTTGCATTTCTCTGACTGCTAGAGATGGTGAGCATTTTTTCATGTACTTGTTGATTGATTGTATGTCCTCCTCTGAGAAGTGTCTGTTCAGGTCCTTGGCCCATTTGTTGATTGGGTTGTTTGTTCTCTTATTGTCTAATTTTTTGAGTTCTTTGTATACTCTGGATATTAGGGCTCTATCTGAAGTGTGAGGAGTAAAGATTTGTTCCCAGGATGTAGGCTCTCTATTTACCTCTCTTATTGTATCTTTTGCTGAGAAAAAACTTTTTAGTTTGAGTAAGTCCCATTTGTTGATTCTAGTTATTAACTTTTGTGCTATGGGTGTCCTATTGAGGAATTTGGAGCCCGACCCCACAGTATGTAGATCGTAGCCAACTTTTTCTTCTATCAGACGGCGTGTCTCTGATTTGATATCAAGCTCCTTGATCCATTTTGAATTAACTTTTGTGCATGGCGAGAGAAAAATACAGTCTTCTCATGCCATGCTCAGTGGCGCATGCCTGTAATCCCAGTGGCTCAGGAGGCTGAAGCAGGAGAATCCAGAGTTCAAAGTCAACCTCAGTAACTTAGCAAGGGCCTAAACAACTTAGTGAGACTCTGTCACTAAATAAAATGTAAAAAGGGTTGGGGATGTGGCTCAGTGGTTAAGCGCCCCTGGGTTCAATCCCTGGTACCAAAAAAAAAAAAAAGTATTTTTGTAGCTGTGCTTCCTGTTGTGCTCTAACCACATCCAGACCATCTTTGGCAACTGGCATCAAACACCTTTTACATTAGTCTGTCTTTTTGGAACTTTTTCTTCCTTGGTGAGCACTTGTTTTAAAACCCTAGCAAAGACTCTACTGATCTAACAAACAAACCCAACCAACTTTTCTATCTTACAAAGATTTTAAGGAAAAATGATCTTAAGTCATCACTGAATTTATGTGTGTTTAATAAACTTTATTCCTTAACTACTAAGCAGCCTGTTTGTCAATTGCTCAGTTGACAACCTGAACTTAAAACCTGAATTAGAAAAAAAAAAGTGGTTCCATCTCATTTACTTCATTACCTTTACATTTTGTAGGTTTAGACATAGGTGTCTTTAGGATCTGTTTGTTCATTTATACTGGGTGATATTCTTCACCGAGGAAGAGAAACCATGGAACCATGTCTAATGTAGTCTGTTCTTTGGCTTGATTCTCAAAACATGGCAATAAATATGCAGAACCCTATCTATTTTCTTTCATTCAGAACTTCCTGGATAACTTTTGGGTTTGGGCCCTAAGAAGGGTATGAATTTTATTGTCCATAGTAAGGTTATGCTTGTATTGTTGCTCTCATTACCTCTCCATTGCCTTATGGTGCTGTAGGTAATGTTTTATGCTTCACTGGGGAGCATAGGTGAGTTATGAGACCTCTGAATAGTGATACAAAGGCTTCATCTCTTTCCTCAAGTGGCTACAGAACAATGAGAACCGCCTAAATATTACCTGACCACTTTTCTCTCTTCCTCCCTGGACAGTGAACTTCTTAAGGAGGTGAAATAGTTTCATTCTTATAGAATCATCCGGCCCTAGAATAGGCCTGGTTTCTATCCGATACCAAATAAATATTTGTAAAACAGGTTTATAGTTAAAAGAACTCAAATTGGGAGTTCTTAAAGGAGTTTCACTAGTCAATCAAAAGTCAATCAGTGATTATTAAACACTGCCTTATGTACAGAGTTCCCACTAGACAGTCTAGGTCCCTGCCCAGCAGTGTGGTATTTCAGTAAAAGAGGAACCTGTGCCATCCACCGCTGAAAAACTTAGTCTTAGCAGGCAGCAGAGGTTCACACAATTCTGTCATTTTCTATGGAGTAGCAGAAAGGCTCATTGATTTCAGGGCGTGGGGATGTGAGCGGTACTTGGAAATGAAATTGCCGCCAGCATTTTCTTCCAATATGGAGGTCATCAAAACAAATGGAAAAGGAAAGATTTTGCCTTCTCTGGGGTTGTGTTTGAGTTACAGTACTCTTCAAAAACTCAGGTGTGCATGGCCTGATTCCTAGATAGAAGAGTCTCATTTTGGATGATTATAACTCAAAGGCTGAAGAAGAAAAATAATAAAATAAAATAAAATTAAACAGTAATTTGAAGTCAACTGTTCTTGCAGTTCTAGGTAACAATTTCCCACCAACCTCTTGTTTTTGTGCATTTTATTCACAGGAGTTTTAATGTGGGAAGTTTTCACAGAAGGAAAAATGCCTTTTGAAAATAAGTCAAATCTCCAAGTTGTGGAAGCCATTTCTAACGGTTTCCGGCTGTATCGCCCTCACCTGGCACCCATGTCCATATATGAAGTTATGTACAGCTGCTGGCATGAGGTGAGTGTCCTGCCTTTCCTGGTTGGCAGCCCCAGCACATGAAAGCAAACCTGTTCTCACCAACGTTACCCAAGACTCATGGCAGTAAAAGCTGCTTGTCTTCTTGATGACCCTGAGGGACAAAATCCTCATTCTATTTGAAACTCCCACTCTACAGTCATGTGTGCATTGTGTTTTTCACAGTGGCCTCTCTGCTGAGGAGCTCAGTATATCTGCCAAATCTTATCTTTATAAGATGAGTTTTTGCAGAAACTGTTGGTGTTACTGAAGCCAAAACGATGAGATATGACCTTTTAAGAACTGGTCGGTGAACCCCAGGGTAGAACCACGGTTTGCTAAACTTCCACATTGAAAAAGAAGGCTGGTGTTTTATTTCCTTCACTCCACTTTGATTTTCCTTGCTTTTCAAGGTTGGAAGGAATGGGTTTCATCTCTCTATGGCACTTAAGACTCCTGCTGGAGAGAAAAAAGCAAACTAGAAATGAAAGCAGAGTGTGTGCCAGCAATCACCACTTAGAAATCATCTCTCAGGAGCCCCGTTTCTTCTTTTGTTGAAATGCCAAGTTTAAAAAATAAAGTAGAGGGGTTTCTGTCCCAGTTCTGCCTTTTCTGGGCACTGACTCAACACACCCCTCTGCTCTCATCAGACTCCCCTGCGGCTTTGAGAGCTCTATTCTCTTTGCCGCTGATGGTCTCAGGCTAGAAAAAATCACAGCCCCATGAGGAGTTTCCTCCTGCCTGAAAGAAAAAAAAAATATCACTCCATTCCTAAACCACAGACACTGGAAAAGCCAGTATTTCAAGAGCAATGTGCTCGTTCCCATTTCAGGAATTATGAAAATTCCCAATGCATTAAAATATGTTACACATGATTAATTGGTCCACAGGGAATCTTGAAAGATATAGGAAAATGTTAAGTAAGTTGTTGGGAGCAAACAGCTGTCTTAAGAACATCTTGCAATAACAACATAGAGAGCTCAGGAATATACACATGATAGTTATAATGGTTTGACTTACAAAAGTTCACCTTTACAATAGTACAAATTGGCATACACTCAATAGAAACCATATTTTTAATTTTGATTTTTTTTTCCTGGGATAGAAAAATGAGGTATGATTCTCTTGAAGGACAGTGGGCAGAGTTGGTAAGCCACAGCTCCCAGGCAGCCACATATCACAGTAAACAACCAATACTCTAGGTTGGACAGTGTTACTAATCTATGATGTTCTGTAGATTAGGTGAATTGAATGCATTTTTGATTTATAATATTTTCAACTTATGATGGACTTATTAGGGGATAAACTCATCATAACTTCAGCAAATGTATATGAAACAATATACATGTATGTGTGCATAGAATACTTAGTGAGATGTTATGTATCTGTTGGATGTGAGACAGAGAAGGGGGAGGGGTAAATGGATTCTCCCAGAAAGATCAACAAATGACCTCAATCTCAAACTGTCACTGGAAAACTGATTAAAACAGTGTTTTCATTATGTTGGCTTATTTGTTAGCAAAAGTTGACTGTGTCCATTACTTTGCACCAAGTGTTTAGGCACCCCTAGACTCAAATGAGATCACATTACCACTGATAAACACATTTTATAGGCTCTGCCTGCAGAACTTCAGCCTCTTCAAGAGACTCCACAATTTATTTTTGGAGTCTCAGAGAGGACTCTAATGTGTGCTCTTATCATCTGCTCTGTCCTTTTTGTTGGAACCCTCTGTTTATGAGCCACTAAGTGTGGTGTCTTCCCCCACCCTGCTGACAGTGATCTGCGTGAGAATGCAAATATTGTGAATAACTCCATTTCCTATAGATTTCAAGGATGCTGAAAACAACAGCGCCATTTCTTCTTCCTCACAAATCCAGAGCCAAATCACATCCATCAGTGAAATAGAAAAAAATGTTCTGATTCCTGGCTCCATGACCAGGGATTTTGTTGACTGGGCCTAAAGACAGAACAGCCTGTGCCCCAGGATCCACAAAGTCACTCATGGAAACAAGTCTTTTGCTGTCTGAGTGAAATCCTTCTTTGCCCTTATATGTGTCATATCATCCAAATAGGGTTCCAGGGTGGTGCTGATGTCCGATAGATATTTCTGTAATGGTGGAAATGTTCTGTATCTGCGCTGTCAATATTGTAGCTACCTCTGGCTATTGAGGACTTGAAAAGTGATTAGTGTGACTGAAGAAGTGAACTTGAACTTTTATTTAATTTTACTTAATTTAAATTTAAATAACCACATGTGACTAGTGTTTATAGTTTTTTGTTTATTTGGGTACTGGTTACATTCCCAGACCTTTTTAATTTTTTATTTTAAGATGGAGGGTCTTACTAAGTTGCTTAGGGCCTCACTAAGTTGCTAAGACTGACCTTGAACTTGTGATCCTCCTGCCTTAAACCCCATCCCACCCCAGAGTCTGGGATTGTAGGCATGCACCACCATGCCCAGCTAGTCAGTTCCAGCCATTTTATTTTTGCAGTAATCTTTACTCTTACATTCACACTCTTGCCTTGTTCAAATGCAAATCATGCCATAGTGTATCAGCCAAGATGTCTTTCTCTTCTTTTTTGTGGAGAACCAGGCTGGATCCTGTTCTCTGCCAACAAGATCCACAGCTGGTGTCTGAGTGTTATTAGTTGAGCTGACTTCTTCATTTCCCTTTTCCAGACCCCTAAAGGCCGCCCAGCATTTACTGAGTTGCTACAAGTGCTCACAGAAATTGCAGAAACCTGGTGACCTGAAATGGAATGCCAATCCAGAGGATCATCTTGCGAAATTGTCACAAGAGCTAATCACGAGTGGGATGCCACTAAAGGGAATATCTTCCTTTAGAGCTGCTGATTCTTGGAAATAGGGCAGAGATCACAGGCTTTTCAAATTGTTTTAAGTTTGAGAACATTCTGACAATAGTTTTTCTGCATGTGTGAGAGGGATTTCTACACTCCTGTCTTATCTTTCACATCCATATGTGAAGATGGAAAAAAGACTCTGTTATGGTTTAGATATTAGAGTCCTCCCAAAGCTCATGTGTGAGATAATGCAAGAAAGATTAGAGGTGAAATGAATGGTTATGAGAACCTTAATCTAATTGGTGCTTTAATCCTCTGATAGGGATTAACTGGGTGATAACTGTAAGAAGGTAGGATATGTCTGGAGGACGTAGGTCATCGGGGACATGACTTTGGAGTATTTATTTTGTCTGTGGTGAGGGGACTCTCTCTGTTTCCTAAGGCCATGTCCTGAGCATCTGTACTCTACCACACTCTTCTACCATGATATTTGGCCTCACCTCAAGCCCCAAGGAATGGAGCCAGTTGTCTATGGACTGAGACCTCTGAAACCGTGAACCCTAAAATAAACTTTTCCTCCTCTAAAATTGTTTTTATTGGGTCTTTTGGTCACCACAGATAAACAGCTGACTAAAACAGGTTCCATAACAAATCTCCTAGTGACTGCTCTTCATGGCGATAGCTGAGAACCCTCGAGGGTACAGGAAAACCTGAATCTTCCCAAGGCTAAGGAAATTTCTTTCCTAAAGAAGAGTGGCTTTTGTACTTCAGTGTTCCATGCATAGAAGGTGAAAGTGGATTCTGCCAGGTCATGGAGTAAAGGAGCCTCTGTAGCAGAATTTTGTGCTTTGTAACTGTACAGATCTTTATAGAAATCATACCTTTAGGAACTACATGAAAGTGAGCATTCTGAAATGTCTTTAGTAAATCTTACCTTATGTTATTTAACAACCTTTTGTACATATGTGATTATTTTCACATGGTTGCTTGTATTCCAGTTTTAAACATTATTATAGGACTTAACCAAAGTTCCCCTTTGAACAGATCTTGATGATATTTCCATTTCCAGTGATGACCATTGTTAGGGGAATTCAGAACTGATTTCAGTTCTGAGATTTCACACTGTGTACAAGTGAGACTGGACAAATTAAGAAACCTTATTTTGTCATAGTAAATGCCTCCTATACTTTTCTATAAGATGACTTATTTTTTCCAAGGCAGGAGATACAAAATAAGATTACCAAATGTGACATTGACTCATTATTTCTGATGTCTAAGACTTTGAATTCAAAATGAAATAACAAGCAATCATGATTAAATCTTACTTTCTTTTGCACTGTTTGTAGAAATGGTTGGAAATTGGTTTTAATCATTCTAAGTGCTGCAGAAGTCCTATAAGAAGAAAGCACAAGTGTAATTACCATAAGGCTAACAATATATGTGTGTTAATTGTATACCGTCCCACCCTACATGATATTCTGGAGTAACATGGTTTATGATTCTCATTAGAGTCTAAGTTGCTGGTGGCTTTTAGATCATATTTTCTCCACTCAGAATTCTTTGAATATCAGTGTGCTCAATAAATTTGCATTACATCAAATAAGAAGAAGGTACAAGAAAAAGATGTGATCAATCAAGTAGTGGTTTCAGAAATGTTTGCATGAGATACTGAGATATTTCTGACACTATCACACCCTTTCTTTTGTGACTCTGGCCATGGTGAGGAAAGACAGAACACTCCAACTATTGAGACCTTAATTCAAATAAAACAAAGTCTATCTCAAGAGGGTAGGTGACTATTTTAACAGCAAATGTGCACAATACAAAAACTAATGTGTTTTCTGTATATGAAATAAGGTGTTTTTTTTTCTATTTTTATTAAGCTTTAAAGTCCTCATTCCCTTAAAAAAGAAAACCAACAAGAACAAAGTAACAAAGCCCCAGAAACAAACAGTGAGAAGCTAGCACTGACTATAGGGCATCTGCCATCACTAAAGAGGTACAAAGTACAGAGCAAAGAGTGACACCCAGAGATAAGTCATTCTAAGGGGTCATGTGACTGCAACTGCACCTCCCAGAGTACATATTGGCAGTTGGAGGCAATCTTTACACCTTTGTTTTAACACTTCAGTAAAGTTTAAGATACTAAATTAGAAACAAGAATAACTAGAGCTATTTTTCAATAAATAAGACTCCAGATAAAGTGTGAATACAAATGTCTGTGACAGAGATGTTCCATTCCTTGTTTAGCTGAAGAAATAAAAAAAAAAATTTAAAGAGGTTACCACACAACTTCTCCTGGGTATGGGCTATGTTTTGCAACTAGTTTTAATGTTTGCTATTGACACAAGGTCTCTGTGGGTAGTTGAGACAGTACAATTTTTAAACAGCTCTGCATGAGAAATGAACAAGTGTTTTAGGGACTGGTTGTACAGTCCTAAAAAAAGAGACAATAGGGGCTGGGGATATAGCTCAATTGGTATAGTGCTTGCCTCTCAGGCACAAGGTCAAATGGCAGAAAGGAGGTTTAGAAAAAAATGGAAGGGAATTGGAGGCCAAGCAGAAGATATGATCAGTGAAAATTATTTTGGGGCAAGAATAGTCACAGGAATTTCTTTCTTTAGTAAACTTTTTATTGAAGTCCAATACATGGTCCCATCAACTCATAGATAATATGTGGAGACTGGCAAGCAAACTGACAAGATATGACAGCATTTCATCTAGCACTTAGTTTTCTTAGCTTTGGAGAAGGATACAAGACAGGAAACAGAATATGCACAGCCTTCAGTCTCCATGAAAGTCTCCCAACTCTCCATGGACTCGGATGCCTAGCTCCCTCCTCACCTGCCTAGAGTGTGCATGATTGCTGGGGATGAGGCCGTGCTCTGTGGCTCACCTTCATGGAAACAGTTTCCCTTGGTTGCCTACCAGTCATATAGGCTTACAGTCCACAGGTCTCTCAGCCCTTTGTGCTGTGCCTCAGATTACAGGTTTCACAATGTACATAATAGGGATCTGACTTGGCACCTGACATTCCAAATTTATCTTAACTTAGGTCATTTCCAAAGGACTGGTGCTGGAGATAGTAAATAAAAAATTTCCCCAGGTAGACCTAGGTCTTGGAGATAAAGGGTACAGGCCTGCTATTAACCCTTTACTCACACACACATAAACACACACATAGACCATAAGTGTATAGCTTTCCTAACAGTCACAAAGTGAACACATCTGTGTAGCCAGACACAATCAAGAAGTGGCACATTTCCAGAGTTGCAGAAGCCATTCTCATTCCCTATTCAATTCACTAACCCAAGAGTAATTAATATCCCCCCAACACCATGAATTGGTATGGGCTATTTTTAATTTTTCATAAAGAAATCCTTCTATGAACAGAAGCCAGAACATGGATCTACCATCTTTCACTCAATATGTTCCTTTGACCTATCCATATTGTATTCATGTTAAGTTATACTTATTCCCATTTCTGTGTTGTCTTACATTGTATAATTATCTCATTCATTTATTCTACTTTTGATGGTTATTTGAGTTGTTTCTGATTTTTAACTATTAAAATCAGTGTTGCTATGAACATTTTCCTACATGTCTTTTTGGTGAAAATATGTGTACATTTTTGTTAGGTATATGCCTAGGAATGAAATTGCAGGGCACATACATAGCTTTTGTAAACAGTGTTAGGCAGTGTTCCCAGGTGGATATAAACAAGGGCACAATAGCAGCCATGTGGGAAGTTGCAATTGATCCACATCCTCAACATCTAGGCTCATCTCTATTGGCCTTGAAAAGGATGTAAGGGCTGTTAAGAGTGAGCTGGCTCAGATTTGGTTTTGTTTGTTGAACTGTGCTGCAATATAATCACTTTCTCCCACTCTTTGTTGTTAGCAACGCAGTGGGTTACATGTATAATTTAAAGTATGTAGTAATGGGGAGGATTGAAGACATTTGAGTGATACAAAAGAGAAAAAATTAGAGGTGTAATTCAGAGCAAAAAGAGGAAAATTTGATAGAAGAATTTGGAGCTGGAGATATAACAGATGTGAGCTTCTTATCAACTGAGGGATCCACATACACACACAAACACACACACACAGTTGGCTACTTGTGTCTCTAATTGCTTTGTAACATGTATGGGTCTTGTTAAATGTTTGATGAGAAATTTGATAGGTTTGGCTAAACAAGTTTGGGAGTTAGTATTGGAGTCAGATGCACCGCTTGACCTATGGAGAAACTGGAGAAGGGCAGGGAAGGACAGAAGCAGATACATAGCTGGATATGACATTCCTGAAGGCAGTAATAGACTAGAGAGCAGGAAGTTCTGTTCTCTTGGGCTGTCCATGATGGATCTTTCCTTCCCTGGTCCTTCTAGTTATTCAGTAGAGTGTGCTGGGATCGTGACTTCTGTGTTTGAATGGATTTTGTTGCATGTGTGGGGAGTATACAGGGTGTATTTCATATGTGGTTCTACATGATGCAGGACCAAGACCATATGAAACTTGCAGAAGCCTGAGAGGCAGAAGAAACTTCAGGCACATAAGGTGCCTTAGAATGTATCTATGTCTTTCAGAAGTTGGATACATATCAGTTGTGCACTTGCTACACTGAAGATGGGGTAGAGGTAGTTTCAGCCAGTTTAACTAGTTAACATCGGGGTTATAGATATTTAACTTCTAATCACCCTGGATAACTTGGAGAATCAATGAGTTCACACCTGGGTGACAGTAGCATTAGTGGACAAATCCAGACATAAACGGTATGAAATTTAGAATAGGCTATCTAACCGAAGAGAACCAGCAAATGATCTAATGAAGGAGAAAAGCATGGTCTGGGACCAGGAAGAGTCATTTTTCTGAGCCACACCTGAAGAAGAATTTTAGTACTCCTTTTGCCAGAGGAAATTGGATGTCAACTGGAGAACCTCTGTTCTAATTTCAATTTGTAATATTTCCAAAACTTCACGTGTTGGAGGGTCCCCAGTTCTGCAGGGTTCAGAGGTGGAAGTTGTAGGCAATGATTAGGGCCTCTGGTCTCATCATTGGGTTAAGCCATTGGCTGGATTATACCATTGATAGATGAAGAGACTACTAGGAGAGGGAAACTGGTTGAAGAATGTAGGATATTGGGGAAGTGGCCTTGGATTATATCTTGTCTCTGATTCCTCCCCGCTCCCACATCTCTTTGCTTCCTAGTTGCCATGAACTGAGCAGCTTTCTTCTGCCATCTCTTTCTGCCATGATGCTCTGCCTCACCTCAGGCCCAGAGCTATGGAGTTGGCTGACCATGGACTGAACCTCTGAAACCGTGAGCCCAGAATAAACTTTTCCTCCTCTAAGTGTTCTGGTCAGTATTTTTGTCACAACAAGAAACTGACTTGGGGTAGGGTTAGGGTTAGGGTTAGGGTTAGGGTTATGTCAAGAGCTTTGTAATGTTTTGAACAACCAATTAAAAAAAAAAGAAACTAACTAACACAACCTCATAATAGAGATAACACACTCACAGAAAGCTGGTATAGAGTTATTCCATAATACTTGGTGTAAGAAGTATAGTATAACATTGCTTTTCTTTTTTTTTTTTTTTAAATTTTTTATTGTTGGCTGTTCAAAACATTACATAGTTCTTGATATATCATATTTCACAATTTGATTCAAGTGGGTTATGAGCTCCCATTTTTACCCCATATACAGATTGCAGAATCACATCAGTTACACATCCATTGATTTACATATTGCCATACTAGTGTCTGTTGTATTCTGCTGCCTTTCCTATCCTCAACTATCCCCCCTCCCCTCCCCTCCCCTCCCCTCCCCTCCCCTCCCCTCCCCTCTTCTCTCTCTGCTCCCTCTACTGACATTCGTTTGTCCCCCTTATATTATTTTTCCCCTTCCCCTCACTTCCTCTTGTATGTACTTTTGTATAACTCTGAGGGTCTCCTTCCATTTCCATGCATTTTCCCTTCTCTCTCCCTTTCCCTCCCACCTCTCATCCCTGTTTAATGTTAATCTTCTTCTCATGCTCTTCGACCCTACTCTGTTCTTAGTTACTCTCCTTATATCAAAGAAGACATTTGGCATTTGTTTTTTAGGGATTGGCTAGCTTCACTTAGCATAATCTGCTCTAATGCCATCCATTTCCCTGTAAATTCTATGATTTTGTCGTTTTTTAATGCAGAGTAATATTCCATTGTGTATAAATGCCACATTTTTTTTATCCATTCATCCATTGAAGGGCATCTAGGTTGGTTCCACAGTCTAGCTATTGTGAATTGTGCTGCTATGAACATCGATGTAGCAGTGTCCCTGTAGCATGCTCTTTTTAGGTCTTTAGGGAATAGACCGAGAAGGGGAATAGCTGGGTCAAATGGTGGCTCCATTCCCAGCTTTCCAAGAAATCTCCATACTGCTTTCCAAATTGGCTGCACCAATTTGCAGTCCCACCAGCAATGTACAAGTGTACCCTTTTCCCCACATCCTCGCCAGCACTTGTTGTTGTTTGACTTCATAATGGCTGCCAATCTAACTGGAGTGAGATGGTATCTTAGGGTGGTTTTGATTTGCATTTCTCTGACTGCTAGAGATGGTGAGCATTTTTTCATGTACTTGTTGATTGATTGTATGTCCTCCTCTGAGAAATGTCTGTTCAGGTCCTTGGCCCATTTGTTGATTGGGTTGTTTGTTCTCTTATTGTCTAATTTTTTGAGTTCTTTGTATACTCTGGATATTAGGGCTCTATCTGAAGTGTGAGGAGTAAAGATTTGTTCCCAGGATGTAGGCTCCCTATTTACCTCTCTTATTGTATCTTTTGCTGAGAAAAAACTTTTTAGTTTGAGTAAGTCCCATTTGTTGATTCTAGTTATTAACTTTTGTGCTATGGGTGTCCTATTGAGGAATTTGGAGCCTGACCCCACAGTATGTAGATCGTAGCCAACTTTTTCTTCTATCAGACGGCGTGTCTCTGATTTGATATCAAGCTCCTTGATCCATTTTGAATTAACTTTTGTGCATGGCGAGAGAAAGGGATTCAGTTTCATTTTGTTGCATATGGATTTCCACTTTTCCCAGCACCATTTGTTGAAGATGCTATCCTTCCTCCATTGCATGCTTTTAGCCCCTTTATCAAATATAAGGTAGTTGTAGTTTTGTGGATTGGTTTCTGTGTCCTCTATTCTGTACCATTGGTCCACCCGCCTGTTTTGGTACCAGTACCATGCTGTTTTTGTTACTATTGCTCTGTAGTATAGTTTGAAGTCTGGTATCGCTATACCGCCTGATTCACACTTCCTGCTTAGCATTGTTTTTGCTATTCTGGGTCTTTTGTTTTTCCATATGAATTTCATGATTGCTTTCTCTATTTCTACAAGAAATGCCGTTGGGATTTTGATTGGCATTGCATTAAACCTATAGAGAACTTTTGGTAATATCGCCATTTTGATGATGTTAGTTCTGCCTATCCATGAACAGGGTATATTTTTCCATCTTCTAAGATCTTCTTCTATTTCTCTCTTTAGGGTTCTGTAGTTTTCATTGTATAAGTCTTTCACCTCTTTTGTTAGGTTGATTCCCAAGTATTTTATTTTTTTTGAAGATATTTTGAATGGAGTGGTTGTCCTCATTTCCATTTCAGAGGCTTTGTCGCTGATATACAGGAATGCCTTTGATTTATGCGTGTTGATTTTATATCCTGCCACTTTGCTGAATTCATTTATTAGCTCTAATAGTTTCTTTGTAGACCCTTTTGGGTCTGCTAGGTATAGAATCATATCATCTGCAAATAGTCATAATTTAAGTTCTTCTTTTCCTATTTTGATGCCTTTAATTTCTTTCGTCTGTCTAATTGCTCTGGCCAGTGTTTCGAGAACTATGTTGAACAGAAGTGGTGAGAGAGGGCATCCCTGTCTTGTTCCAGATTTTAGAGGGAATGCCTTCAATTTTTCTCCATTCAGAATGATGCTAGCCTGAGGCTTAGCATAGATTGCTTTTACAATATTGAGGTATGTTCCTGTTATCCCTAGTTTTTCTAGAGTTTTGAACATAAAGGGATGCTGTACTTTGTTGAATGCTTTTTCCGCATCTATCGAGATGATCATATGATTCTTATTTTTAAGTCTATTGATGTGGTTAATAACATTTATTGATTTCCGTATATTGAACCAGCCTTGCATCCCAGGGATGAATCCTACTTGATCATGGTGCACAATTTTTTTGATAAGTTTTTGTATCCGAGTGGCCAGAATTTTATTGAGGATTTTTGCATCTAGGTTCATTAGAGATATTGGTCTGCAGTTTTCTTTCTTTGAAGTGTCTTTGTCTGGTTTAGGTATCAGGGTGATGTTGGCCTCGTAGAATGAATTTGGAAGTTCTCCCTCTTTTTCTATTTCCCGAAGTAGCTTGAAAAGTATTGGTATTAGTTCCTCTTTAAAGGTTTTGTAAAACTCTGCTGTATACCCATCCGGTCCTGGGCTTTTCTTAGTTGGTAGTCTTTTGATGGTTTCTTCTATTTCCTCAATTGATATTGGTCTGTTTAGGTTGTCTATATCCTCCTGACTCAATCTGGGCAGATCATATGACTTAAGAAATT